ATAGGATAGTCAAGAACAGAAATTATCAGCCAAGGACTTTAAATTTTTTAAAAAATATTTTATTAATTTCAGAGGGGAAGTGAAAATCATTGATTGGCTGACTCCTGCACACCCTACTGGGGATCTAGCTTGCAACCCAGACACGTGCCCTGGGAATCGAACCTTGATCTCCTAGATCATAGATCAACATTCAATCACTGAGCCACACCAGTCAGTCTCAGCCAAGCACTTTATATCTGGCCATGTTCTCTTTTAAGTACCAAGGCCTCAGACAGTATTGAACCTACAGGAACTTAATAATTTTCACTTGGAGCTTTTCTTTTAGGAAGTCACCAGAAGCCAAACTATAGCCAGCCACACTCTGACACAGGACATTTCAGCCAAAGCAAAACCACAAAACAACTGGCAGTGAGCACTGCACTTGCAGATCTAGAACAAAAACAAAAGTGGGGTGGCTGAATGAAACATAAATGTCATGTGCTCTGCCAGTGCCGAAATAATGTAACAAGTAACAGGAGATAGAAAAGGAAGCCCACTTTCTTGTTTCCTCATCTGCAGGAGTTGGGAGTGAAATCAAGTTACAGACATATATGAGTATTTAACAGTAATGTTAACTATACATGCTGAGGTCATAGAAATTACATAAATCTACTGGCAGAAAAGAAAGAGTTGGGTGGGGCCAGGAGGAGAGAATACAGTGCCAAATAGTTTACAAGTAGATACAAACATCTCTTAAACATATAAAAATGTGCTCAACCTTGCTCATAGTAAGAGAAATATACATTGACACTATAGTGAGATTTTATTTTTACCTCTTAAATTGGAAAAATTTCCAAAAATTGACAAGTTTTCAAAAAGTTTGGCAACGCACTTATTTGGCAAGTGTAGGGAGAGACGGACATGAGCATATTCTGTAAAACCATGTAACCCCAAGAGAGAACAACTTGTAATATCTTTCCAATTTTCAAATATAAGTATTCTTTGACCCAGAAATCCCACTCTGGAAAGTTACCCTGTAGATATGACTTCATATGTACAAAATGATATATGTACAAGGTAAATGCAACAGAGTACTGTTCAGAATGGCAAAGGATTAAAAAGACCCCGGGATCCATCAAAGGGAGTATTAATCCATCCTATATCCCACAATAAAATTTTATGTAGTTGTAAAAAATTATTAACGAGGAACCTTTCTATGCACAAACATGGAAATGTCTCCTGTATGTATCGATAAAGAAAGATAAAGCCGGATTTGAAAATTACGTTCGTGATTGAAAAGGTACAAAATAAAAACATTAGTTTGTATTTGTAAAAGTAGACGCTAGAAAGATGCATAGAAAACTCATCAAACTCAATGCTTGTTGAAGGACAGGAGGAATGGGTGGCTGGCGATAGAGTAAAAGCATGAATTCTGTGTGTACTTTTTTTTACATCATTTTTACTTCTGAAATCTATAAACACATCAGCTATTAATTGTTTTAAAGTGTTGTTTCTAGATGGCCTCACACTCACCCTTCTAAACAGTTGAATTCTATATGTGATCCAAAAGAGTAATCTGGCTTCATGATCACTTCCCCATTACGTAATTCTCCTGGGTTGCTGCATTTTTTCTCTGAGAGAAAAGTTAAAATGAGGATTAGGGATGTCAAGTTCTCATAGATATGACATTAGAAAAGAAGGCCGATTGATTAGCTTTGAACTCTGTTTCCAGAAAGACCAGAGATTCAGATTCAAACTTATTTCAGATCCTGACTCACTGAATATTTACTTCTCAATGCAACTAGGTCGCTCCTAATTTTTCTGTTTCACTTATTTGTTTGTGGGCTTGCTATGTTTTTCACACAGTGGCAATGTGTATATGGCAATCAGCCACTGACAAACAGGGTGGTTTCTCAATGACCAAGAGTTCTTATTTGCATTCAGAAAGCTTAGTTCCTGAGACAACTTTGCAACAACAAAAAAAAAGGAAAAAGCACAAATAAGAAAATAACTGTTCATACTTACTGACACAGAAGGTTTCGTGCTGCCAACTGCCTCTTTCACAGGTAACATAAGCACCTTTTGAACTGGTCCTAAAGTAGCCAGGGCGGCAGCTGTATGTCAGACGGGTTCTCTCTTTGTAGCTTGTCTCATTCAACTCTTTCGTTGGAAAAGCAAAGTGTAAACTGGGTGGGGGACCACAATCGCCTGGACACCAAAATGACAAAGAGCACCGTAAGTTATAGCTCGGGACACAGCATCTTGGTGTTTTCAGGAATAGGATTTTTAGAGCAAGAGCCATTCTTTTCTCTTCTAATCCAGAAAAATAATAACTTTTGTTATCTCTATTGCTCAATGAATCCAGTGACTCGTCAGTAATACATGTATGTTGATGAATAATAATGATAAGAGGCAGACATTTTTCATCCTTCCTCTATTGCATATAAGATAATTTATTTTTTAAAGATGGCAGATACGATTTCATCAGCTCATCATCAGATTTTTCATCTCTGCTGACTCAGCTGCATCTGTGCAAAGTCAAAAAGTCCCTGCAATGTTCCTCAACAGAAACATAGTATTCGTTAAAAATAACTTTATATAACATTGGTTGCCTCAGGGAAGAGAAACTGGGTGACTGGGAAATGAATAAGAATAATATTTTTAATGTGTACTGTGTTTTGTACCTTTTGGACTCTGAATGATACGAAGGCAGAAACATGAAGCCCTTGAAATACAAAAAAAATATTAATCTTGCTTTTCTAGCAACAATCAAGTACAGAACTGATTTACTTATTAGGAGTCCTAGGAGTCCTAGTGGCCCCCCTCTCCACTCTGGATAAACCCGCTGGCAGTGAAAATTGTCCATTCAAGCTGATACCTCAGACAGATTTGTCTCAAGTCATGGGTGGGAGACAGATTGGGAAATTCCTGAAGGAGAAATCTAGCCAGAAGTGTCTAGAAAAACTGCCTCTTTCATGGGTAAAGCAAATTCCCCTAAATTCCAAGTAATTCCAAAACCCCTTAAAATTCCAAATTTCAGATAAATCCAAAATCCTGGTCCAACAAACCCTTGGTTGCTGAAGATGGATTTCTGGCGAAGGCTTAGTCATCTCTTTGTTAGTCTTGTGAACAAGTGGATGATCTTGAATGTTTATGGCCAATCTAAACTTGTCCATGACTCACCAAGAACAGTAGCCAATAGAGCTGCCACCAAGGCCATTTGGAACAGAGTAGAATCAGAGACTCTCCACAGCCTAGAGAAGGGCCAGGCTGTCATTTTCCCCTTTCTATCCAGGGTCTCATCGGGAGCTCTTGGAGGGAACATGCTCTGAGGCGTCGCCACCATTTTTCTGCTGAAAGAACTCAGTTTAATAAACAGTCGTTGAAAGCTTACTTGTTATAAAGCACTAGGATAAAAGCTATGGGATCCATGTCTTCAAGAAAATTACAGCCGAGGCTGGAAGAGAAGACGTGCACAAATGTTACAACACAAGACAGTGAGCGTTAGCTTCTGGGGTAGGGAGTATTAAGAAGACAGATTAACTCCAAGGGGAGAGATAGAAGGTGGCTGTATCTGAGTTAGGTATGCTTTAAAAATTACAGAATAGATGCAGGGCAAATTGGGGATCAATGTGGCTAGAAAATAGTGTCTGAGATGGGGCGATAGTCGTTAAGGAAGGGGCAACTTAAAGGTGTGCCTGAAAGGGATATAAAGGCCAAGTTAGGGATTCATGGATGCTACTTTGAGGATTAAAGAGCCTTTTAGTTTGTTGGTTGGTTTGGGGTTTGTTTGCTTTAAAGCTAAGGAGTGACATCATTGTGCCTTAAGAAGATCACTATGGCAGATGTGTACGTAAGAGATTAAACAAAGTGAAGAAACGGGGAAGTTGATTGAGGGGGCAGCAGAGGTGAAAGAGAGTATATGGGGGATAAATGGTGATGGGAAAAATAACAAAATAAAATAAAATATAATATAATTTTAAAATGACATAAAAAAAGAAGGCTATTACAATTGACCAGGTGAGCCACAGAGATGATGTAACCGAAGAAATGGCAGAGGATTTAGAGAAAAGGGAACAAATATAAAACAAAACAAAAGGGCTGGAAAATGACGAGATAGAGAAAAGGAGTTGGATCGCTATGTATAGTCTTGGGAATTCCTCATAACAACTGTCAACTGAAAAAATAAACCATCAAGCAACTTGCAGTTTTGAAAAAATGGCTCTATATCTATATATATATAGAGAGAGAGAGAGAGAGAGAGAGAGAGAGAGAGATCTATATATGTAGATATGTAAAGACATGTGCTTTCATTATTTATTTAAAGACTTATTTAAAGCAGAATCATGAAGGGTATTTTTGTCTTCACCACCATTTTCTTTCCCTTGGGAGGAAAAAAACACAATATATCTTAAATTTGCATTAAAAATAGTCTTTGTCCTTAAAGGAATATACAAAGTTCACTCCTAATGAAATATTAAATTTTTTGAGTAGTCATTCTTTTTAAAATTAAATTCATCGAGGTGGCCTTGGTTAAAAAGCTTATATAGGTTTCAAGTGTACATTTCTATGACATATGATCGGTACATTGCACTGTGTACCCCCCACCCAAAGTCAAATCATCTTCCGTCACCAGAAATGTTGAATTTTATCTTTAATTCTGACATTTCTGTTAGACCCAGACGAGTCTGCACTCCCATGTGTCCATAATTCATACTAAGCACATCTTCATTTCGATGGAGGGTATCAGCTCAGTATTTCCCTTGAAGTTTCTGTCCCACACTATGGGGGGGAGCAGTTTATAGTGGCCCTTCACACTTTGTGAAGGGGCCTAGCTTCATGAGTAATGACCCACAGAATCTTGTCTTTTCAAAATTCAATTCTGATGAAGCCATTCCTCCCCCAGTTGTCAGACGTGGGCAAATCCAGCCCACCTGTGCACATTCTATCTGATGAGCTCTGTATATGGCTGGTAGGACAATTCTGCCCCCGAACCCCCTAATAAATTCAACCTAATGAACAATTTATCAAATGATTTTCATACAAAAAGTGTGTTTACAGAATATGTATCTAGTGAATTGAGGTTTTCTTAAAAGGTTGGGAGGAACCAGAACCCACATTTTGGGATTTCACACACCACCTTTCTATGTGTTTCTCCCCCCTCCCCACCCCCCAACACACACACACACACACACACACACACACACACACACACACACACACACACTTGTCCTAGTGCATCCCTTCCCATCTCAAGTCTCTCCTCTTTCTGTCCTAGCAATCCAATGAGACTGAGGACAGTTGAGGTTCAGGCAAGTTCCACATAATAAAAACCAGTCCACTAAATCGTGAAATTTATAAAATATGGTAAATGTCTCCTGGGCAATAAAAAGTGTTATGAACTATAAAAAAATATAGCAATAAGCATCTTTAATTTTTGATAAGTCAGTCTATTTGGCATGTCTATGGACATCTGTGAAATTGAAAAGATTTTAAAACATCTTTGCCAATATGTTGGCAAAATAGAATTTTACTATAAAAAAATCAGGATAATAGAATAAAGTTGCCGAAACCGGTTTGGCTCAGTGGATAGAGCGTCGGCCTGCGGACTAAAGGGTCCCAGGTTCGATTCCGGTCAAGGGCATGTACCTGGGTTGCGGGCACATCCCCAGTATGAGATGTGCAGGAGGCAGCTGATCGATGTTTCTAACTCTCTATCTCTCTCCCTTCCTCTCTGTAAAAAATCAATAAAATATATATTAAAAAAAAAGTTTAGAATAAAGTGAAAATTTCCCATATGAATTGTTGCAGTTGTCATCATTGTATAGTCACAAGAAAAATATATACATTGACTATATTCATAAAAGCACACCCTAAGACTAAAGACATACCTTCAGAAAATTGAACAAAATTATATTTAAAATGCTGCTACAAAGAACATATTCATTAAATATTCTTAAAAAGAATATATTAATAATTATTGAATATATCCAAAATGAATGCTTTTAAAGACAATGTTAAGTAAACTGATCATTTGATAAGTTCAATATATTGACTTCAGTGAACTGATCCTTCAGGAATTGCCATTCAGTTCATTGGCTTCTGGTGACTAACTCCTCTGTAGTTTGGTGGGAGCCCCATGTTCCAACTGCCAGGGGCAACCTGGATCTAGCAGACAGCTGTGTCACCAGGGGACTCTAAGCCCCAGCACAGAGGAAAGCCCGCTGGACCGAGCCAGAAGCCCTTGGTTGGGTTTTCCCTGAGACCCAGTGCCACTCTCAGAGCAGAGATCCTGGCCCTCACAGGGGCCTTCTCCCCTCACCCTTCACTGTTTTCCTGGGACGGACTCATCTACTCCCATGACTTTAAGCATCATCCATGAATCACTCACGGTCCTCTGGGCCCAACTAGCTCCTGTAGGTACAAAACCTTACATGCACCATAAACTCAATTGTTAATAAACATTGTATTCTACCCTATTACTCCCATGGAAATGTTGAGCCTTTCAGTATTCTTGTTGCTAACTAGTGGAATGCCAGTGCTTAGCCTGAAAAAAGTAGTGAAAGAAATCTCAGCAAAAGGAGGAGGAAGTCTTTTCTCTTCCCTGCAGCTGCAGAAAAGCAGTTATCTGCATCGTAAAACTGATCTGGCAAACAGTTGTTTTTTTTCTAACAAAGGGGTTGTTACTGGACTTTAGAGATTGTAGCTTTGCTAATTGAACTTAACCCTTAACCCTGTAAAAGTCTATGATTCTGACTGGTTATCTCAGCAAATTGTTTTTGGGATACTACTTAAATTAATACTTGTTTTTGAAAAGTGTAACCATTTGTCAGTTTTCTTTGCAAATCCAGAAATAAATTACAACACTTTCCTCTTCACTTGTAATTCTAAAAGCTAAAACTTTTGACTCTTGAATTTTTAAATTTCAGCTTGACTGAGGTGTAAGGGGCTCATTGTAAGTTCCTTAAAGTGTACCTCATGATGATTGACATACAGATGTACTGCCAAGGGATCGCCCCTCCCCACTCTCTAGTTAATTAATACATGCATCACCTCTCATACTTACCTTTTACTTTTTTGGCAAGAACATTTAAGTTCTACTCTCTTAGCAAATTTTAATTATACAGTACAATATTATCCACTGTAGTCACCATGTTTTACATTAGAACCTCAAACCATTTTCATCTTATGGCTGAAAGTTTATACCCTTTTACTAGCTTCTCCTTATTTCTCCCATTCCTATCCCACCCCCAGACCTAGCAACCATTTGTTAGATTTCATATTTAAGAAAAAAAAACAAACCTTTTAAAAATGTAAGTTTTAATTTCCAAGGTTCAGATCAGTATTTCCAACTGCTTCATTTCTATCTCCCAGGTACCTTGAATCCAACAGATCCCAAACTAAATGTACTTTCTTCCTTTGAATACTGCTTGACCTCTGTGCTTTCTGTTTCAGCTAAAGTAATAAATAATCTCCTCCTAGTCGCCCCCACCAGAAACCTGAGTCATCCTAGCCTCCTCTCTCTTGGCCCCTTTTCATATTCAGAGTCACTCTCTTCTCCACCCCACTTCCAGAGTCCAGGGTGCGGTTCTCGTAATTTCCTTCTCCCTACCCCTAGACCACTGCAAAAGCCTCCAAACATGTGTAAGCCAGCGTCCTCCTTGCTGTGGTTATAATCCTAAAAAGCAACTTACTTAAAAACTCTCATGGGTCCCAATTCCTTACGTCCCCCTTCCTCTGCTTCTGCTCACTTCGAACACCATGCTTCAACCTCATGCAAGTGTTTACCTTTCCCAAAGCACACCCTGGAATGATCTTTAAACAGCTTCAATCATTTGTAGAGAATATCTATTGTGCATGAATGCTCTTACCTCCAACCTTGAGATCATGTCACTTCCTTGATGAAGTGCCCAACACCACCAAGAACTATCAGTCTCTTTTACGCTCCTCTAGTACATTTCTGATACCGTAATTGCAACACCACATTGTACTGTATCTATTCACTTCTGCCTCCTGAAATAGACTGTAAGTCTCTTCAAGACAAAGAAGTTATTTATTCAGCCTTTTTGTTGTTGTTAATCCTCACCCAAGGATATTTTTCCATTGGTTTTTAGAAAGAGTTGAAGGGAGGGGGAGAGATAGAGAGAAACGTCAATGTGAGAGAGACACTTCCACTGGTTGCCTCCCACGTGAGCCCTAACGAGGGCCAGGGAATCGAACCTGCAACCGAGGCGCATGCCCTTGACCAGAATCGAACCTGGGACCCTTCAGTCCACATGACAATGTTCTAACCACTGAGCAAAACTGGCTAGGGCTTCAAGTGTCTTTGTAAGGAGCCCAACCTACTATTGTATATGGCATATAATAGTGATCCAATAAATGGGAAATAAATAAAACTCAATTCAGTTTTATCTTCTTAAGAACGATTGACTGCCTTACTGAGGACCAAATGAAATAATGTGTGAGAAGAGCTTTGTATATTTTGAAGAGATGATACAGTGATCTGACTTCCCTTACTAGGTCTCAGGATGTGCGGGAGCTCAGTTGTACAGGTGCAGTATTTGTGGTTCACCATCCTATTCTTTGTGGTGCCTCAGCAGAACCTGCACAGAACTCAGCAGACCACAGAGTATGGAGGTAGAGGTTAGGGCTAAACTTGAGAACCAGCAGTATCATCATCTAACTTTGTGATCTTGTAGAAACTACAGCAGCTCCTTGAATCTGTTTCTCATCGCGAAAACAATGACATTAAACTTAAATCAGCTTTCTATTGTCTACAAAGTGCAGACTTTTGTAACTGCCCACTGAAAAGCTAAGACTTCCCTAGCGTATGCCCTCAGATTTCAATGACATCATCGCCTTTTACATTCTTATGGAAATGAAACCAACTCAAGAGCCATAGTCAACATGGTGGGTCTCTTGCAAAAAGTACTGTCCAATACAGTACACTTTGAGAGGCACTGGGAAAATCCTCAGCCCCCAGATTTCTTCTTCCATAAAGATTACTTTCAAGTTAATGTATTCATTGTATCTAAACTCCTCCTTTTAAAATGCAGATACCTTGGTAAAGAATGATATTTTCTACAGTCTCAACTGTCGTGTCTCCTTGCTTATGCCTGCATTCTCAATCACATCACTTTGAGATTCCAGAAAGAACTTGTTTTCACACTTTCCCTCATATCATAGAATTTCTATATCTATCAGTTCCTTCCTTCTGTGTTCATATTATATTCAAATGTATGTCTACACTTACTATAAACCTTCTTTGATGCTACTTTTTCTTCTGGATACTCTACTTTTTATTCTCCTTGTACTACTATAGAGAGACACAACGCAGGAGTTGACAAAAAGAAAAGTGGATGAAGAATTAAAATGAGGACCAGAATAGTCCTATGTCGTGCCCAAGCAGGAAGAGAATTTCAAGAAGAAATGATAATCAACATTGCAAGTGAGGGAGAGAATGGAGGTGAGGATGACCACGGCTTCTAGCTTCAAAAACTAACTGGAAACTGACTAATATCCTCCTTGTTATCAGTTATAAAGGTCTTGACTGTCCATGGTGAAGGAGATATGGAGGGGCTAATAAAATCTCCAAAGGAAATCGCATTCATTTTCAGAATGCAGACTATGAAAACCAGGTCTTATTTGAACCCCTTTGGGAAGTCTGGCTTACCTCCTGCTTTAACTCTCCTACATAGATGGTTAAAAAAAAAAGCGACAAACGAACACACTCAACTTTTAGATACAATAACAAGAGCAACATCTTACCTCTTCTCTACTTCAGTTTATTTTGAGTATGTATCTATTATTCCCCCATTTATAATTAAAAATTGAGGCTCAGAAGGGATTAAAAGTACTCTTCAAGTCCTGTAACACCCTAATGCATTACTCCTGAAAAGATTTCTGCTGAAAACACCCCAAGTGTTTATCTCTGTCTCATCCTTCTAATCTTGCACTCCTCAACCACCAGCCTTTTCCCCAAGATACCCAAAGTAATCCACTGACCTGCAAGTAGCTGAGGAAGCAGTAGAAGACTCTATTATGGTGCCTGGAGCAGTTTCTTAAGGAAGAAAACTGCCTTGATCTCTAATAGTCCTAGTTCATCCTCAGATAAGAGTTTACCAGAATTTCCTGAACCTGTCTAAGGTTCCAGTGCACAAAAGTCCCGGAATTACAGCCATGTGGTTGACTGATTGGGGACGGCTGAATAGAAATAGATGACCAGATTCTTTTTTGGCCCAGTGAATGATTAACAGCAAAAACACAGCACCAGTGTTTACCTAATCTCCTTCCTCTTTACTAGCCCTCATTCTTGATAACATGTCGCAATCATTTTTCTCCTTGCCAACCATTTCCCCTAAATGAAAATGTAATATGAATTTGATGCCAGAAGTCTTTTTCTCTATTCATAAACACATGAGGTTATGAAAGATTCAATTCTGCTAGCCTGGGATCCTTGGCTACAATAGGGTTCAGACTAAGTTCACAAACATGATCCACTTTCTATGATGCTACATCCAGCAGGCTTTCCTGGGACACCATGACCTATAGATGACCTTGACCTGTGTTGGTCACCTCAAGAAAACAGAAAAAAGGTGGGGAGTTTCACACATTTATTGAGTTCCTGATTGGTGCCACGTTGCTTGCAACATTATTAGTACTCAGTAAATGTTAGCTACTACCAACCCCACTACTACTAAATGCTGGGCACTAAATGACCTCCAGAAGTTAGTCTATCATTAGGTGCTGCTCAGAAGAATGCAATGAATGGCCAGCCATGTTTATTATCACATGATCTAGGATGGGTCCCAAATTCTAACATTATCCAATCAAGTGATTAATCCTCAAGATTAAAGTTTGTGTGCTCAGGAGATTGCTATTAAAAAGCAATTCTTCCTGACAACTTTGCTTTTTCTGTAATAAACTTAAAGTCTCTTAAATTTTTCAGAAAAGAAGGAATAGAATCACAGCAGACATTTTGACAGAAGATATGACATTTGGGCTGAGCTTTGAATGAAAAGTGGAAATTATTAGATTAAAATGAGGACGGTATTAGAGGCAAAAAGCCCATGGGTCAAGTGACAAGGTGAAAATGATTTGAAGATTTGACAAGAGTGAGCATAAAGGAGGATTCCGCATTGTACAGTTTTGAGAGCTAAGTTAGAGGAAATATTACCTTAAAATTGGGTCTTGAAAATACCATTTTCCAATCTATTGGAGTTCTTTTTTTCCAGAGTTACTGTTTCACATTTTTCTCTCCAGATCACTAAATTGTCTTACTCTTAGCAGATGACCTTGTGTCCTACTTCACTAAAAAAGAAAATCATTCTACAGTAGCTTCTCCCCACCTCAAGTTCTCTCTCCTATTCACTCCTATTTCAGAAGATATTTGTTTATTCTTTTCCCTATTTTCTTTTTTAAATTTAAATTCTTTATTGTTTAAAGTACTACATATGTCTCCTTTTCCCCCCATTGACCTCTCCCCAACCACTCCCACCCCCCAACACATGTCCTCACCCCCATACTGTCTGTGTCCTTTGGTTATGCTTATATGCATGCATACAAGTCCTTTGGTTGATCTCTTAATCCCCCCCCCTTTTCCCTATTTTCTTGATTTAAGAGAGAAAGAGAGAGAGATAGAGAGAGAGAGGGAGAGAGAGTGATATATATCTATTTGTTGTTCTACTTATTAATACATTCATTGGTTGATTTTTGTATGTGCCCTGATTGGGGATCAAACCCAAAACCTTGGCGTATCGGGACAACTGAGCTAGCTGCCAGCCAGGGCCTTCCTTATTCTCAGTGTGTCTTTCATCCTGAAATATTGCCTTAATCTTGCTGAAACCTTAAATTATATTCCGTTGTGAGATGCTGAACTTCTCAAAAAAGGCTCCCACGTTTCCTCCCTACTCTTTCTCATAATCAGTCCACAGCCCTCCTTTGTGGCCTTCCTATCTGGCTTCTTCCCACCATTTCTGAAAGAGCTCTTTGAGACATGACCTTTTCTCCAAGCCCAAAATTTATTGAATTTATCTTCTTTGATTTCTGAGTAGCCTGGAACACTGCTGATTATCTCCTTTCTGAAACTCTCTTCTCTCTGGGCTTCCATTCACCTAGACCAGTGGTCGGCAAACTCATTAGTCAACAGAGCCAAGTATCAACAGTACAACGATTGAAACTTCTTTTGAGAGCCAAATTTTTTAAACTTAAACTATATAGGTAGGTACATTGTTATTAACTTAGTTAGGGTACTCCTAAGGCTTAGGAAGAGCCACACTCAAGGGGCCAGAGAGCCGCATGTGGCTCGCGAGCCGCAGTTTGTTGACCACGGACCTAGACTTTCCTGACGCTCCAATCTTACTAATTGTTCTTCCTTGATTATTGTTACCCCCACTTCCTCCTTCTCATCTCTAAATATAGATACATCCCAGGTTCTTCTTTTAAATTTTTTTCTTTACATCTTTAATTATCTTACTTACTCTCATGGCTTTAACTATTCCCTATAAGAGAACTATTCTCTAACTACATCTTTATCTCTGATTACTCTTCTAAATGCAGACTCACGTTGCCTATTGGACATCTTACACGTACCTTATACTCAGCACATCCAAAGGGGAACTTCTCATTTCCTGCCCAGAAGCCTTACCTCTGACCCCAACATTAATCCAGGCTCCCAGGAATACTATTTCAGACTCACCTTCAAACTCTTCTCTCCCTCATCCTCCAACGTTCAATCAGTTGACGTATTATTTTTATTGGATTTTGCAATGTCTCTCTTATCTGCTGTTTCTTTTCTATTTCTACTGCCATCAAACCAGTTCAGGTCATCATTGTCGCTCATGGGGACTATTGTGGTAGATTCTCTGTCTCAGTTCTTTTCCTACTTCCACCAATAGCACCTACAGTCTGTGTTCTGTCCTCATCACTTCCATGCTTGAAAGCCTTCTATTTGTACTTGCTGCCTACCAAATAATTTTAAAATCTCCAACACACCCTTTAAAGCCCTCTATAAACTCACCATAATGGATCTTTCCAGTTTTTTTCTCTCATCACTTCCCATGCTTTATCCAGGCCAGTTCAGACAATGTGCTAGTCTCCGAACAGGCCCCATCTTTCCTGCCTCTGCAGAGAACCTCTTAAAAATTATTATTTAGCCCTGGCCAGTGTTTCTCAGTGGTTAGAGTGCCGCCCAGCACACCAAAGGGTCATGGGTTTGATTCCTGGTTAAGGCCACATACCTGGGATGTAGAATCAATCCCTGGGCCAGTCGGGTGCATTTGGGAAGGGAGACAACCAATCTCACATTGATGCTTCTCTCTCTCTCTTTCTCTTTCTCTCTCCCTCTCTCTCTCTTTCATCCCCCCTCCCTCCCTTCCACTCTCTCTAAAAATCAATGGGGAAAAATTATTATTTTAAAAGTTAACACCTGTAATTTCATCTTTTAAGACAACTGTTTTCATCTGTACCTATTATTGCCTGATCCTTTTCTGCAAGAATAAGGTTTTTAATAAATGCAATCATAACGACTTGTCTTTCTATATTTTATTTCAAGATTATATTTTTAAGATTTTCTGTTCATAATCTACACTAATAAAAGACAAACATGCAAATTGACCGTATCTTTGCTATGCCTTAAGCCACGCCCACCAGCCAATCAGAGCGACTATATGCAAATCAACCCAACCAAGATGGCGGCCGGCAGCCACGGAGAAGAAGCGAGCAGGAGGCTTGGTTGCCCCAGTGATGGAGGAAGCCATGCTTCCCGCCTGCCACAGCCGGCTCTGAGCTCCACTCAAGACTACAAAGTTTCAATTATAGAAGGTAAATAAATCCCAGAATGAAAAAAAAGAAAAAAAAGGAGAGGTTGGGAGCTTTTGTCGCCGGGGGGCTTGGCCAGCCTGAAAATGGCCCTTAGCCCCTCACCCAGACTGGCCAGGCACCCCAGTGGAGACCCCCCACCCTAAAGGGGGTGTGGCCAGCCTGAAAACAGTCATCAATCCCTCACCCAGGCTGGCCAGGCACCCCAGCGGGACCCCCACCCTGATCTAGGACACCTTTTAGGACAAACCAGCTTGCCCCCACCTGTACACCAGGCCACTATCCTATATAATAAAAGGGTAATATGTGACAACAGGGCGACCAGTCACTATGACACACATTGACCAACAGGGGGCAGACGTTCAATGCAGGAGCTGCCCCCTGGTGGTCAGTGCGCTCCCACAGCCAACCTCCTGCAGCCAGCCAACCTCCCGTGGTTCCTCCCCCCGGCTGGCCCCAATCGGCCCCTATCAGGACTGGGCAAGCCAGCAGGTGGAGGGACCCCACCCATTCATGAACTCATGCACTGGGCCTCTAGTTGTCACTATAAAAGATTGCATTACATTTGATGTGCCCTAACTTATTTAACATTTCTCTGAGATTGGACATTTCAAATGCTCACAAGGTCTTACTAATGCAGACAATATAGGTAATAACATAACGAATAGCTTCAAATTAAAAATCATTTTGCTCAAGCTCGATTAACTCTACAAGTGTACGTACTTGGTTAAAAAAGCTCAGGCTCTCTTATTACATTTCTCAAATTATTTTTCCACTAGGAATGTCTCCTCCCTAATCTTTGTCTCTAACTTTTACTCATTTTTAAAGGCTCAAATAACTATGACATCTTCCTTGACAATTTCCCTGCCTCTAACTCTTCCCAGATGGACATCCTGCTCCTCCCAGGTGAGCTCCCATAGCACACTGTTCTGTGAAAAGTGCCTATTTTATTCTAACCATCCTGAATTAAGACATGTACATCCATGCCCTGTGTCTATTCAGAGACTGTGGGCTACTCGAGAGTCTATCTCTTTTTCTTCTTAACTTCGCAGAGAGATTTTCTATTATTTCAAGCTCTCTTGTGTGTTTTGATTGTATTTTACTCAGATTTCCTATGTGTCTTAAACAGAGGGCATAGTGGGAGATGGAAGAAGCTTGTGATATCAGCTCAGTAAAACATCTTGACGGGAAAACCTTGGGATTCTTGCGTCTTCTGCCCTCAAAAAATAAAAGAATATATTCGCTTGTGTTGCACCATCTCAAATTTACCATGCAGGATGGGCTTCATCCGAAAGGCCGTGAGCAATCTTACTGCAGAAGACTTGGAAACCTGGTTTCATAAATAGGATATAGGAGCAAAACCCAGGAGAGAGTTTGGGTCCTAATTCTACTTTTTCCTCAATGGCTCATTTTAAGATATAATTGTTTTGAGCCTATTTCCCAAAATAAAAGGTTAATTTTTACCTCATAATTTTGGTTCACTTGAGGCTAATTTTGGCTGCATCATTCCTGTCTCATATTCATATGAGGTACACTCTTAGCTATGATCTGAGCTTTTGATTTTCCTGGCATACAGGAAACCAAACCCTTTTCTCCCCATTAATGTGTTGCTAATTCTTGTCTTAAACAGACAACCATCACACTTGGCCTTTCCACATACAAACACACACACACACACACACACACACACACACACACACACACACATGGTCCATCATACAACTGCAGTTGATTACTATGAAGTTGCTTTCCAGTCCAATGAGAGAAAAAACTGAAACCAATTTCAGAACCAAGAGGAAACTTTATTTATAGGTGTATTGACATTACCCAGTCAACTCAGCTACAATGTCAGGGCGATATTGTTGCCTCCAACTCAGCTTTCTTTGTTTCCAGAGAATGTTTTAGCTCCTCCATTGTTGAGCCATTTTCCTTTAATCTTTGCATAAAGTTCTCTACGGCTTTGCAAAGTTCCTCACTCTCTTGAAAGGCAAGCTGAAGAAAGAAACATTTTTGTAAATGACAACTTAAGAACGGAGAGCCAGCTTGATATTCTGAAGATAATGAGTAGTGCCTTAGGTCCGTGAATGGGGGCTCAGAACCAGGCTAATTTACATAGGGATGTGGATCTTAAACATGATGCTCAAAAACACTTACTATTATCCCAGTAGTAAATATAAACTAAAAGAGGAGTTTCAATGAAAATTGATTTGTCACTCTAGCCAGTTTAGCTCAGTGGATAGCATGTTGGTCTGCGGACTGAAGGGTCCCTGGTTCGATTCCAGTTAAGGGCATATGCCCGAGTTGCGGGCTCAGTCCCTAGTAGGGGTGAGCAGGAGGCAGCCAATCAATCATTGATGTTTTTCTCTTTCTCCCCCCTTCCTCTCTGAAATCAATAAAGATATTATAGACATGAGTTTATGTACCTTGCTCTATAAAGTACATGAGACAATGACTCCTACTAACAGCACCTCGTCGGGTGGCAAATGGGAACTACCATATATAAAAATGCGAGGTAATAGTTTATGCGCCCCATTCTACAATCAGGTCAAGGCCAACCCATTCAAAAACATCCCAAATTGATCAGCTATTTACTAAGCATGTACTAGGAGCAATGCCAGGCCCTGAAGATCCAGCTGTGAATAAGACAAACAAGAGCCTACTACTCACCAGTGCCTTCTCATGTGCAGTCTGTCGAGCTGGTTTGGGAGCTTCTGGGATCAATTCACAGACCGGAGGTGCACTGTTCCATTCCCCATCAATGCACTGCTGCTCTTGTGTGCCCACCAAGCGGTATCTGCACAGAAATTAGAATGGCCACAACGCTTAGCCTTTCCCCCTTCTGAACGGGACAACTAAGGCTGGTTTTGTGTTGCTATATTTCGGTATTTCTTACTGTGATAGAACCCACCTCTCGGCCCTGGATCCATAAGGCATGCTTAAGTTCTCTCAGTAATACAGGGTAGTACTAAAGTAAAACCGCTCCCTGGGGTGTGGATAGCCCAACTGATGAGTCAACCCATAAAACATGGAGAAGTGAGAAATTCTGAATACGTGCGTTTGTACATACAGTTTTTGGATGGGGAGGGTGAGGGAAGAACTTTAAATAAGCACCTGTCATCTAGGCTCTAAAAAGGAGTAGAAAGCTAGAGAGAGCCTTCAAATACATCTTAGTGAACTGGCTGAAAAGAAGCTGCAGATTCTAATCAGAAAAAGACGTGAGAGTTGACTGCAGTCTGTTGGAGGTACATAATGAAATTGAAATGCAAGTGAGGGCACATAACCCTGAGTCAATAAGAATGAGGCAAGGGAAAGAAAAAGCTAGGCGATCTGTAAGGTGGGTGACCAGGCAGTCTAAATTAAGGCTAGACTTTAACTAGGGTATTTTAAGGACCTATATTCTAAATCAGTGGTTCCCAAACTTATTTGGCCTACCGCCCCCTTTCCAGAAAAAATATTACTCAGCCCCTGGAAATTAATTTTTTTTAAAATTTTAATAGCAGTTACTCATCGCCCCCAAATGCACCTGTGGCCATCACCACCCCCCTGGATCGCTGCAGTGCCTACCAGGGGGCGGTAGCGCCCACTTTGGGAATCACTGTTCTAAATCTTTCTATTTCTGCAGTTCCATGTGTTCTGTGGTTCTTTGAGTTTTTTGTTCTGAGGGTCCTTAGGAAAAAATATACATTTATAATATCTATTTTGTCTTACTTAACAGAAAAAAAGGTGATACTTTAATTAGGATAAATAAGAAGGTGAATCTGTCTTCTAGGGATTGGGTGGAGCTGGAAGTCGACTAAGGCAGCTCTCAAAATTAGAATGAGCTCAGGGTCCTGAGCAGTAGGAAATCGGGGGACTAGTTTGAGACAGACTGGGTGTGGAGAGCAGCTACAGCATTTTGGACAGGTTCAAGCCTCGGACTAATGAGAGGGCACGATCCTCTCGTGGCAAAGCCACCTGCAAGTCCCAGCACAATTCTAGCCAAAGGCTATATGTAGTTATAAGCTTGACCTTATGGTCCAAACCTGTAGCCCCACGTGGCTGAGTGCAGGTGCATGTAATTGAGTAGATTCGAAACCCATGAGAATGTTGTAACCACGCCCTTACTTTACCTCATGGAATCTGGCTATAAAATAAAGACTTGGCTTGCAGACTGTGGCACTGTCGCTAGCTCTCCATCAGAGAGGACAGCGTCCCACCCAGACCCAGCTTTCCACTCTTGTCTGTCTTTTCTCAGTCCTTCACTGCCCCCTCTCAGGCTCACCAAACCTAGCTGTGCTAGTGCAGTACATATGGCGCCCAACCTGGGGCTAAGTATGGGGAACAGGGGCCTGAGCTCAGGTTCACCCATGGCCGTGCTGGCTTGGCACACTGGGTCATTCCCAAAAAGGATGCTACTACTCAATGGGCAAGATCTTGTATTTGAAAGGCTGCATCCTCTTACCTGTCTTCACAGTGATAAGTAATGGTAGATCCTGAGTTGAAATTTTTTCCTTCATAATAGCCATGAGCTGGGTTCTCAGGAGGGCCACAGTCTCCTGAGGGACAGGAGCATAGGAGAGACAGTTTTGAAGTTCAGTTATGCTCAATTAACAACACCCCCTACGTGTAATTGTCTATGCCAGCACCTACTATCTTCATAGCAGCACATGTGGCATCTAGGGACATGTATGTTCTCCAGTCATTTCCTTCTCCTCAAAATCATATCTGTCCATGGGAAAGACCCCCTCCCTGGGCTCATCCTGAGTCATTAGCAATTTGAGAGCACTTTTCTGATTGGCAGGAGCTCAAGGAAAGAAGGTGAAGTGGTAGAGATGCTAATTGTCAATATACAAGAAAAGAAAATTTAGTTCACAAATAGAAGTCGAAGAAGTAACTCTCTGAAACAGGAAATCAATAGTGTGAGCTCAAATGGAGGCTGACATCCCCCAAGGGACAGAGTTATATGAGAGCTTCATAAAAAAAAAAAAAGGAGAACAGAGCTTAGATCATTGAGGATGATAATTGTGGAAACAGAGCTGGAGGAGGTACTGGATGTTGTGAGTTTTAGTTCTGGCTCTTCCAGTAACCACGTGGCACTAAAGAAGCCATTTCATCCCTCTTGGCTTTCTTCCTAACCTATACGATGAGCAGGTGAAGTGATATTATGCTTTCAGCTCTGAGATTAAGTCTAAAAATGTTGATCAAGATTAAAGGCTAAATCAAGAATAACTACATAGGTGTATATTTACTGAAACTTAAAGGTATTCAACACAAATAGCTGAGTAAAAATAGCAAGACATAAAAGAGTATGTATAATATAGTATAATTTTTGTAAAACACCATCATATACAAACATATATGAACAACAACGAGAAAAGAAAAAGGCATTGTTCATTGAATTCTGCTCGTTTCACTGGAGTGTTTCTGGGCTGTCTGTTAGATCCTAATCCCTCCCCAGATACACAAGAGAGGAAATCATCCAAGGGATGTGGCGAATGCCCGGCTGCCAGGGTTGATCAACATCTTTGGGATTTGCATTTGTTTCCACTGTACTCACTGCTTTTGCAGGTGGGAAAGGGAGGCACCCAGGTGTGGTCCTCGCGGCACTGGCTCCAGTTGCCGCCTTTGAGGATGTAGTGCTCATTGCATGTAAACGTGATTGTGTCTCTCGCTTTCACAGGCCACCGGAAACTGAACTTGCCATGCAGCAGCACAGGGTCGGGACAGTGGCCCACTGAAGAAGAAAACAGGCGGTGATCTGAAAGGGCCAGGATGAAACCCACCACAGCGAACACTAGACCTCCTGGCGCTTCATTGAGAAAACAAGAAATTAGAGCTAAAACTGCACTTTCTTCATAGGGACCATGATACCAAGGGGTATCAATCCGGGTGAGAAAAGACTGGATTGGCCCGAGTGTCACTCTGGTCATTGTCACTCCCGTGCAGGACCAAGAGTGAAAAGGTCTTCTTGGTCGTGCACAAGAATGACAATGGGCACTTGAATGTACTAAAAATAGTTAAGCATCTAACTGGAAATTACCAATAGCAAGTTCATCATCCTGTTATGTAAAGCATTGCTCAAAATTCTTGAGCCTATGTTTGAGGCAAGTGTTTCCTTCTTGTTTATCCAGCCAAATATATACGTGTACTTATCATTTTTTTACTTCATTTTGTTTTCTTAGGCATAAAAACAGGAGAGAGCCCTGGCTAGTTTGGCTCAGTGGATAGTGCATTGACCTGCAGACTGAAGGGTCCCAGGTTCGATTCTGGTCCAAGGGCACATGCTCAGGTTGCGGGCTCAAACCCCAGTGGGGGTTGTACAAGAGGCAGCCAATCAATGATTCTCTCTCATCATTGATATTTCTATCTCTCTCCTTCCCCCTTCCTCTCTGAAATCAATAAAAATATATTTAAACAGGAGAGAATGCAGAGATGTGAATTTAGTCATATGAATAAAAGGTAAACATGCTGGTGTTCTTTACTTTGGGAATAAAGGAGAGTCGATCCAACTATTCCTAAAGGTAGTAATAACAAAGAGAATACAGCCTACTTTTTCTCCATCTCTACAGACACCACAAATGAGTTCTGTGAACTTGAGCAAGTCACGTGGATCTCAGTTATCACGTTTATAAATTGACGACATACATTTTTCTCAGTTCAAAGTTATAGGATGAAGGACGTAAAATGATACGATAGATTTACCTCCAAGTAATAATAATGCAAAGCAGAATTGTAGGTGGAAAAAAGATCAGTCATGTGCTGATACTTGTTGAAGCTGGGTGATAAGTAACCACACCTTCATTTTACTCACCCGTCTTTTTTATACGTTTAAAACCTTCATAATATAAAAATTGCAAATCAGTATGATATTAAGCATATCACAGTCCCCCCCCCCCAAAAAAAGTCATTTTACTATTTGGTGGAAATTCTTTCCTTCTTGGAGGGGTGGGTGAGTCTATTCAGAGCTGATTATGTACCGTCTAAAAGAAGTCCCGCCACTAGAGTGCTTTAAAAATGGACTCCTAGAAGTTGGGATTTCTGCCTGACAAAGTTTTAACGTGAGCTCCTGGAGATAGAATGTGAAAGAATACAGTGGGATGACAAGATGGACAAAGAAGCAGAAAGATGAGACTTACAGCGGCACCTGGGGGTACGGGCATTCCACTCCTTGGAGGCATTGCAAAACAAGGTGCTCTCCCCTACCAGGTGGTAGCCCTGGATACAAACGTAGGTCCCCAGAACGTGTCCTTCCGCCTCCTTGGCAACAAATATGCTGTTGTCCACCGGGGGAAGTTCCGGACAGCTCTCTGCTGGAGGGAAAAGGAAACCGATCCACTGGTACCTCAGGGGCTGTGAGGAAGCCCTCGTTCGATCCCCCCATCTGACTCTCTTTTTGCTGGATTATTGATTCTCATTCCTTGTACTCTTCCATGTCGTGTACATCCACATCCCTCCCGATCCTGCGATTCCCAAAGTTTTGTTTTCGAAAGGGTAACCGGAATTTCACTCAAATTCAGCCGTAACTTATCCACTCCTAAAGGAGCAATTCCCTTCCCAACAGGCATTCCTGCAGTTTGTGTAAGACCAGTGAAGATTTTGAAACGGATACTGTTTTTGCTCCTAGAACAGAAGGGGAAAGCAAACAGGTAGCCCGCCACTTACAGAGCAGACTTAGTAAATATTTACTAAGCCCCTATGGAGCACAGAGAACTCAGCCAAGTAACCTGAGATTTTTCAAGACGACAAATACATTTCATTGATTTCAATTTCATGAAAATCCTAGACAGAATGCCTCCCAACCCACAAACTGATCATCAAGTGCCTTGAAAACTGAGCGTAAGAAAAGCATACATACCATCTGAGCCAGAAATCAGCCACACAACCACAAGATAGCACACAAACCGAAAAAACATCTTGTGATCAATTGCTTGACTCAGGCCGAAGTTAACTCAGCCTGAACATCTGGTTTGGATCAAAACAGGTCTTCTAACACCGCTAAAGGTCAGACCGTCCAACCACCTCCCTCCTAGAGAACGGGTTGTATTGATTCTTCTTCCCTGGAAAGAATGCAAAAAAAAAAAAAAAAAAAAAAAAAAAAGAAATTGTAACAGGAAATGAAGAACAGCTGTATGACGTTGCTACAGAGAGGACTTTGCAAAAACCTAATGGGGTGGGAAAAGAACTGCCAGTTTTAAAACTCAATTTCAGAAATTGCTTAGGTTCTGTTCATGCAAATCCAGCTGACCGGCCCCTTTGAAGTGCAGGCTTAGCCTTCCGTGACAGACGTGGGCGACAGGGTCTTGCCATGACCTTCACTTCTGTCAATATTTGCCATTGTTTAAAGTCCACCTTCTGCAACTCTTTCTCGCATTGCTGGTGGAGAAAGGGGTGGCAATCTCTGATGCTTTTCCAGGTAAAACCCAACTCTGGGCACTACCTCATCCCCTTTCTCAAATACCAGCTCTCCCCAGGCTGTAAGCGCACTGAAGACTGAACGCCCAGGGAAGTCAGCTACCCTTACCTGTCGCTGATCTTCCCGATTTATGGCTTCCCAGCAAGGAGCTGGTCCTGGTGGATGCCAAACCTGAGAAGAACTCCAAAGTCCTGTATGTAAACTAGCTTTGGGGCTCTCATAGCTCCTTGTTCATGACTGTTACAGCAATTAGCTGGTTGTCCATGCTCCGTGGTAAAATTCCTACCCAATTTTAGGTTTAAAAAAATAGTACAAAAAATTGTAATAAATATAAAGTCTAAGGGACACGGTAAGGTCTCAAATTGGATTCTCTTCTCCACCAATTTGCATTGAAACTTGACCACAACCTCTCAAATCCACCCTGATCATTGTCTAAGGGACACAGTAAGGTCTCAAATTTGATTCTCTTCTCCACCAATTTGCATTAGTTTGAAATGACTTGCTCATATCTTCCTCCCACGTTAAGTGTTAACAACTCCAGATCTCCCACGTTAACTGTTAACAACTCCAGGACAGGGAGCATGCCTCATTGGTCTGTTCCCTCCCTTCCTCTGCACTCCAGAATGCAAATCAGAATGGAAAGCAATGCAGAATGGATGAGAAGAACAGCCATCCAGAAACTTGACCACAACCTCTCAAATCCACCCTGATCATTTATCATTTATCACTTAATGTATTCTGACTGCCTTTATAGGTTTTCCGTAGCTTATCTTTGGTCAACTGATACGTGAGTTGCTAGAGAGCAGACACCTTTTAAAGTTGTTTTCCATGGTTAATGACATTCATAATGCTTATTAGTAAATAAGCATTACAGGCTCTTCTAGATCTTTGAACATTAAGAACAATTTAATCTAGATTGTTTCCTGGAGAACTAGGGCAATAGGTCAGGTGCAGAATTGTATTGAGACTGGTTTGATTGCTTTACAAAGAATGGGCAGGCAGTAATTAGTGGAAGAGATCAGGTGAATGGGGAAGGGTAGGAAAATAAAAGCCAGCCATGCCTAGGCTAGGGTTGTGGGGAGTTCAACAAGGGGCGTACACGCTCTGGTGTGTGTGTGTGTGTGTGTGTGTGTGTGTGTGTGTGTGATTTTGAGAGAATTGGGAGATGGTTTTAAGAAGCTCTACACTATGTTATGAATGCATTCACTTTGGCCTTTGTCAAATCAATTCTCAAAATATTCAATTTGCTTCTCCAATTAGTTTTTGTATATTGACTCGATATGTAAATATAAAATGAGTATGTGTCAGAGATTTTACGCAACTCAATGAATGAGGGACCATTGAGATGCTATACCTAGTTCAAAGAAGAATTTGAGGAACAGAGATTAATGTAGTCAGTCAGGCCAAGGCATTCTGAAATCACTTTTCCAGTAGATGCAAAACTGGTTAATATTAGACAGGGCAACAAACTAATATTTGGAATCAGCTTTTCTAACTGATGAAAATGAATTTACTGGACAAAATTAATTTGCTTTGCTGTGATCAGAATCATTTGTATTGTTCTCAGAAAAGAATCACTTGCATTCTTATCTGTTTTTTACAAATTGACTTCTACTTTTTATAGTTAGTAGCAAATGAAACAGAATTACACACCGCTGTGCAATTTCTGGGGAAATGGTAATCCCCAGAGAGGGTCTGCTAGACCGTACTTAGTAATCCACTGAAAACTTTCTCCAATGATCTCTTTTGCCTAGTTCCAAGTTCTGAGTAATTTTTCTTAACATACCACATGTTCAACTTCTTGAGGCACGCATATTTCACAGTGCCTATTATATATTGTGTTTGTACAACAAATAATTTTAAAAAGTGGAAGAAAATTTTGTCTACTCCCACATAGGCATAAAATAGAGCATTGTCATGGGAAATAATTGCAAATAATTCTCCATCTCAATGGTTTACTTCCAATTCAGAATTATTAGGACTTCAGAAAGGTCCTATATTGCTTATATTGTTTTACTAATATTTCTCCATAAAGTATAAAATTATTTCTACCAAGTGGGCTGTCGAGACTATAAATGCCCTCACAAAGTTAAGGTCAGGTTTTGCTTGACAAATAAACTAGAAGAAATCTTTCTTTCTAAAGCTATTTAGATTTTGCAATTACATATAAGGGGTTATAGAGTTATATGTTTTATAATGTGTCAAAGGTCAGATAAATTAATAAATAAGCATTATAGGCTCTTCTAGACCTTTGAACATTAAGAGCAATTTAATCTAATCTAGATTGTTTCCTGGAGAACTAGGGCAATAGGTCAGGTGCAGAATTGTATTGAGACTGGTTTGATTGCTTTACAAAGAATGGGCAGGCAGTAATTAGTGGAAGAGATCAGGTGAATGGGGAAGGGTAGAAAAACAAAAGCCAGCCATGCCTAGGCTAGGGGGAGGGTTGTGGGGAGTTCAACAATGGGTGTACATGCTGTGGTGTGTGTGTGTGTGTGTGTGTGTGTGTGTGTGTGTGATTTTGAGAGAATTGGGAGATGGTTTTAAGAAGTTCTATGCTATGTTATGAATGCATTCACTTTGGCCTTTGTCAAATCAATTCACAAAATATTCAAATTGATTCTCCAATTAGTTTTTGTATATTGACTTGGTATTTCTTGAATGCCTCACCAAGAAAAACCTGGGCCAGAAAAGTAGCCTGTATGCAGATTATATGAGAATAAAACTAATATAAATTTTCAAAAGGTCTCATTGTTCACGAAATATGTAGAGTTTGCTTTGGTTGTGAGTCAAGACTCACTATGCACTATGGCAAGATCAGACTTGATGAATGAAAAGTACTCTCTCTTTAAGTGATGGCAGCATAACTGCAAAGACTACTGCTCACCTTGTTATCCGGACTTGCTGAAAAGTCCCTGCAACCAGGTAGCTAACCCTTACCAATATCCATTTCATCCTTCTTCTTTTTCGGACTTGCTGCAAAGTTCCTACTACCAGAAAGCTAACCCTTACCAATATCCATTTCATCCTTCTTCTTTAGTAATTAAACCCATATTTATTGCTGGCACAAGACCACCTGAAATTAAAAAAAAAAATCCCAGCCTGTCTTGCCTTGGACGAAGCTTTGGCCCATGGGATGTGAGCATAAATGTTATATGCAACACCTAGGAAATATCCTTAACAGAAGTTGGTGTGCCCTTTTTGTTCCTTCCTGCTGACTGGAATATAGCATAGACCCAGTTCCCGTAGTTTGAGTAGCTATATTGTACGAGAGGTAGAATCTAACATGCTTTGAGGATGGTGAGTTAACATGTCAGAAGGACCTGGGTCCTTCATGACTGAGGGAGCTCCAGTGTAGTCTCAGACTGCTAATCTCCAAAGTTCACTGTAGGTGACTGTAACCTTCTGTCACACAGAAGGTGCTAGTATTTTGGGTTTGCTGACACCTTCCACTGAAAACAACTTCCATCTGAAACACGGACGAATGCAGAGAGTAAGGGTCAAACCGTGGATTAAAATGATGCAGAAATTTAAACGTGGAAAAGAATGTTTAATAGGCCTTAATAAATCATGCCTAGGGAGCACTTCCCATCCCATCCATAAATTCTGAAAAGGCAATGGAATGGATGAGACAGGAGAGATCTTAGGAAGCGAAAACTGAATGTAAACAATAATGTAAGCAGATCATTAATGAAGAAAACCCAAGTGGATCAACAAGGTGTTTCCTGAAAGTGGGCAGGGTGGTCGGTGAAGGGCGTTACACTGTTCGAGGCTAGGTCTCATTAGATTTGGAATGCTGCTTCCCAAGGGTCCCTCTGTTTGTGAAACTATTTCCTTTAATTGCAAGGATAAATTTGCCTATAGAATCTGACCTGGTTTCACTATTAAGGTATTGCATACAACCAGAAAGGACATTTAAATGCCTTTGGGAATTCAGGAGGGAGTTCTGCCTGTAATGATTAAAGTAATATAGCTGGCATGTGCTTAATGAGAATCAAAGAAGGCAGTGCCTTGAAGTTTTTAAGAAAAAGAAAGCATTGCCCTGGCTGGATGGCTCAGTTGTCTGAAGGCTAACCTTACACCAAAAAGTTGTGGGTTTGATTCCCGGTCAGGGCACATACCTAGGTTGCTGGTTCCATCCCCGTTGAGATGTGGTCTGGAGGCAACCAATTGATGTTTCTCTGTTTCTCTTTGTCTCTTTATATCTATCTCTCCCTTTCTCTCTCTAAAAATTAATAAAAATACATCTTTGAGTGAGGATTTTAAAAAAATATTACTTTCCATTATTACAATCCACTCAAATTCTTAAATATTCCACAATGTGCAGTAAAAAGCAAAAAGTATTTCATATATTATCCTCCTCTGCTTAAAAAAGTTAATATCAAATGGATGTCTCGATTTTTTTCATGTCAAAGAAAGGGAGATGCTGTGTGTGTGTGAGTGGTGTGTGTTATCTAGCTCCTGGTGTCCCACCCTGATGCCCAGGGATGGGTTTGAGGAGGTTCTGACCTCCATGAATGGAATGGAGTGTCTACTTTTTTTCTGAGGAGAGACCTTGGCTTTTGTCAAATTTTCAAGACCAAGAATGTAGGTTGGATACATTGAGACCATGATAATAGGCGATAGCCCGACTGCCACAGGAAGTGCCAGTAAGGTTGTCACCAACCAGGACAAGCTAATGAGCCTGAAGGTTGACTCTTCTCACAATGAGCCCTCAGTGAAGACCCTGGAGAGGTTTATGACATGATGTAATAATTAAGGCTACAGAAATCAAGCAAATAATGACCATCATTGGGGCACTCACTGAATAGTCATTTTCTAATCCTGATATATTTGTTAAGTTTCCAGCTACATTTAAAAATAGTTAGCATGTTGTGTTTGTTGAGCCTTCCCTGTTACAAACCTTATGGTTTACCTTGTTCTGAGGTATGGGCTTTGACAAAAACTCAATCAGTGTGGAGGTGAGCCACTCAAAAAGGGTGTTCATTCACCTATTTGTAAAACAGGGTTAATGAAGCCAGACCCTCCCTGCCTTCTACAAAGGATGGATTGGTTGGTGAATAAGAAAACACTTGCAAAGGTGCTTAGAGATCTAAGGAAATTACACCCGTGACACCCTCATTATTGTTACTCCTCCAGATATATTGCTAAAGCTCAGTACATTTAGCAATACTTATAACCATTCTCTCAATTGCACTTGGAGAACTGATAAATCGTTCTCATCCTATCAGATGCCTTGGACTATAGAACTTGCAATTGTCCTAGTGTTATTATGAACATTCCACTTTATCTCTATTGCTACTGACACTAATGAGAGTGTTCCAAATCCCTTTATCATAAACATTTACATCACTATTGCCTAATAACGGTTTTGGTCAAGGCTATTTATGAGGGAAGGCATCCCCAGTAGGGAGGGATGAGTTACAGAACTGCTGTTCACTTTTTCCTTTCCAATCATAACCTCTAGAAAGAGGACAGGGACTTCTTGTTAGCCATGGCATGGCAAGGCAACCAATAGGTAATCATTAAATATCTGTTAAATAAATGAATAAAGCTTTAGAATGCCGATAATGCATGACCGTAACGATCCCACGCCCACCGATATCATTTTGAAAAGCTAATGAACTTGATAAAGGCAGGAGTCACCAGTTCAAACCATCAGTTGGAAATATATACACAAAGAACCACTGTAGAAAGAGGACAGAGACTTCTTGTTAGCCATGGCATGGCAACCAATAGGTGATCATTAAATATCTGTTAAATAAATGAATAAAGCTTTAGAATGCCGATAATGCATGACCGTAACGATCCCACGCCCACTGATATCATTTTGAAAAGCTAATGAACTTGATAAAGGCAGGAGTCACCAGTTCAAACCATCAGTTGGAAATATATACACAATCTAGTAATTTAAGGATAATTTTAAAGAAGCTAGTTTCAAACACATTTTGCACGATGTTATTAATATCCTGTGTATGTGTAATGTATCCAATGTTATCTTCTTTTGTGTGCGATTTCAAAAATTGCACTTTTAGTTAAAAATAACTTTTATTGTATTATTACAAAAGCAATACATATTACATATTTCAGCATGATTTTATTGATCGAGGAGATCAACTTTTGTGCAGAGAAATGCATCTCTTGATTTATAGATAAAAATTTATGAGCAAAACAGTATTCAAAGAAATCCGCTGTGCTTTAACATAGTTATTAGCTTTTTACAGAAGACAGATATCTATATTCTGGAAATTTAATTTAAGGTAATACTATGAACAATAGACTTGAATGCTCCAACGATCTCAATTTCTACCCCAAAAAAAAAAAAAATGACAACACAAATGACCGTACATTCTGATTAAATACATGCAAACACTACTATGGAGACTTGAAAAAATACCTTACATGGATGAATAAATAACTAAATAACAAATTATCTGATCATCAAAAGACAGTGTACATAGATGCAGAGAGACACCTGCATTCCAAGAACACAGCCAGTACAGTAGAGCATGCTCCCGGCAGCGAGATGAAAATCACCTGCTACAGAGCAGAGTCAGGAGCCTCTCTGAAGGCAGCTTCGTGCATATAAAAGCAGCTCCCAGGTGCTGGATGCTGAACTGCCTGCAGCCCAGCTCATCACATCTTCGGTAACAGCCCCGTATCAACCACAGTATAAAAGAACCATTTGAAAAAAGCTACATTTCATTACTCTTCTGGCTACTCACCCTCTTGCCCAGCAAGTGGGCATCTGAGTGAAAAGGAATCAAAAATGTAAAAGCTTAAAAACTTACCATTCTTGAAAGAAAAGGAAAAAAAGCAATGATTTTGAGTGTAAGATATAATAATATCCTTTGGAGCTATCATCCTCTTTCAGGGAGTGACATGAGTATCTACAGAGACATGTTTGCATATTTGATAATCACTGATCTAGGGGATAATTATCTGGCTTATCTTTAAGGGAAACCAGCTGACTAAGGGTTTGGTTCCCCTGCACCTCCAATGTTTTACATGAGACAGGTAGACCAAAACAGAGACAACTAGCTAAGAGGCAGGCGTCAGAACACCAGCTGCTCTTAAAGTCACGGCCACAGCTTTCTTAAGAGACCATGTCTTGGTGACAAACCCCAAAGAAGGGTACCTGTTTTGAAATCAAAAGAACTCCCCGGTAGAGTTGATTCCCAAGGAGTCTTCTTTATCTCTTCATGTGATGGAAAGGGCACCCTGCTTTTCTCTTCAGCCCTCATTCCCAATCACCACGGAGAACATTGGCCTCTTCAGCCCTGAGAGGCACGCAGCATCAGGTAGAAAACACAGCAGCTACAGAGAGCCTAGAAGACAGGCACCCATTTGGGGGAGTCTTGCAGTCAGATCCTGCCCTTGAGGGGCCTGGAGCCAGCAAACTTCTCTAAAGGAAAAGGTTGCTGTGGACACCACTCTCCCATCACCACGGGAGAGACAGTTCAGGGACTGCATTACTCACATACCCTCCATTCACCTGGTGAATTTGTCTGTTTGCAATGTGAAATAAGTGAATGCTAACCTATGTAAATTGTACTCCAATCCTGCTCACCTGGAAAGGATGGGAGACCAGCTCATACAGCACAGAAAAGACTTACGGGGGTTCAGCCCTCTCACCTGGAAACAATTAAATCTGAGAGGTGTATTTGCACCTTAGACAAAAAATAGCCAGCTAGAGACAGTCACAGGTAGGGTGCTAGATACCGAAACAGAGCCAGATTGGCCAACTTGGGCCAAACATGGCAAAGAGATCATAAAAAAAAAAAAATGAACCGGTTCAGGCTGTTAATATTTGGAGGCACAAAGAAAGTTAAGTTTTTCGGTGTAACTGATATTCCCATTAGGCATGAGGGGGAGAAATGTGGTGATGCTTTTCCAGGCCCCATTTTGGTGGTGCCAAGTGTTCAATCCCCACTTCACTTCTCGATCAAGCCCTGGTGGTGCTGACATCCAAGTTTTCCAGCAGATCCCAATCCCCCCAGGAGGTCTGGCCTCAGCTTCCGTATCAGGAGAGCGCTGGGAGGGAGGCCGGAGAGGAGCGTCTAGGCACCGCCAGCGAGGTCTTTGCCTAGGAGCCAGAGAGGAAGAGAAACAAAGCAATTACACCACCACAGAACTGGCAAGTCAAGAAAAGTAGAGCCGAATCCCTCCACTGCTTCCCCTCGCCCACACCCCCTCTGCACACAGACATGCGCACAGACACTGGTGTGCTTGCACACACCCCACTACTCCTGGGACTCAGTCAGACCCCAGTGGCACAGTCATGGGCCTCTTTCCCAGGAAAACAGACTCTCCTTGCGCCATGTTGGACCAGGCAGTCCTTTGACACCTGGACCATAAGCTACATACCCAAGAAATGAGGCAGAAGCTGTAGGGAGCCCTGTGGTAAAAGGAGAGTCTGTAGGCTCCACCAGCCAAAAGAGCATGCCAAGAGCGTGACATTGCAGTCGGGGGCTACTTGGCTTCTGAGGAGGGTCTCTACCATCGTAGTTATGCCAGCCCATTCTGAAATCGACTGATGACTTCAGAGCAGAAATCAACCTCTTCCCATAAACCGGGATTTAACGTTTTCACTTGGGAGAAATTCTTCCCTTTAGAACAGTGTTTCTCAAATGTTAAGTGTGCATGTGAATCACTAGGTAATCCTGTTAAGACGAAGATTCTGATTCGGTAAACCTGGGATGGGGCCCGAGCGTCTGCAGGTCTAATGAGCTCCCAGTCTCTGTTAGAGTAACAGGAGTAAGGCGGTGGTTCTCAACCTTGGAAACAGAATTTCCGGAGGATGAGGCCCAGAAATCAGGATTTTAAAAAGATTCCCAGGTGATTCTAATGTGCAGCCAAGGTTGAGAACCACTGGAGTAAGGCATGGCAATGGTAATACAATTCACCTGTATTTTCCCGTCCCAGAAGCTAAACCCTGGTTTATCCCACTGGCTGTCACCTCTTTAGAAACAGGCAGGCGATATTTTAGAAGGAACAGCCCACTAAATTCTAAGAGATCTTTAAGGTTTTTCTTTACAATAAATAGTGAGTCACATGTTTGTTAATGGAAGTCAAAGGTAACAGGTAATTCTTGTAGAGGTCATTCTCAAAAAGTACACACAACTCCTGCAGAAGTTCACGTGCCTTTCATAATGTCCTTCCCATCTTCCCCAGAAGGTGGTGGAAGAGAGCCATGCCTACACCAAGGACTCCAGTCACTGGGAACTGGCTTTGGCTGGTCTGGGGTTCAATCACTGGGCAGTGTGAGGCAAGGCTTGGGGTGGGGCGGTGGGGGAGAAGGGATGGCATGGGTAGAAAACACAACCCAAAATACAAAACAAAAAACCCAGGAGCCTTCTGATAGGTTCAAGTTACTCAACAATTTTATTTACCCATTCTGCACACACACACAAAACACATTTCAAATACAGTTATACACACCTTCTGTGGATCTGAGTGGCATATTTTGATATCAATGTCACCAGATTAAATCAGAATGCTGTTAAGGACTTACATTCTTTCTTTTAACAGAGCTGTGCCTAGGAAATCAGCAGGATAATTCTATTGCTTGGGTTCCCAATTCAGTCCATTCCTATTCAACCCAGGAGTACTCAGCCCATTCCCAACCCGGGCACAGTTGGTGATCAGTCCTTGGCTTTTGCCATAGCAAAACCATTACCGTGTCAGAATGAGTTGATCTAGTTACTTCAACACAATAAAAAAAAATGTACAAAAGCAATTCAGACACAAAAACATTGAATAGTAAATATTGGTCATAGATCCCCAATGAAAGGCTTACTAAAAAGAATACTTTGCCACCTCTTAAAATCAATTTTGAATGCAAAATTACCTTTGCATCTTTATTTATTAGGTCATGAATAAGTGCCAAATGCATGGCAGACTAAAATCACCACATTATCCAATGGAGTGCTACATTCTATAACAGAGAAGCTGTGGACACAGGAGGTTCAGACACAGGTGGTAAAAGTGAAATCTGCCTAGAAGTTGGGGAATGAATGAAATGACTTCAAGTAGAATAACCATTTCAGGCTTTGAGCAGACACTTCCTTAGCTGAGTTTACAAAATGTCATACAAGTGATACACAACCTTCATTTTCTAAAAATGATGAAACTTTGGCTGCTACTCTAAAAGCAATGTCTATTAAAAAATCATAATTTACAGAACTTCCTCCTAAAGAACACATGTGGAGTGTTTACTTCCTTTCTTTGTAGGACACGTACAATAGACAGAGAACTACAATAACAACTGGTACAGTAACAAAACAGTCAGACTGTCAGCTTACATATCCTAGTACAGTCAGTCAGCACATAGACCAGTGATGGCGAACCTTTTGAGCTCGGCGTGTCAGCATTTTGAAAAACCCTAACTTAACTCTGGTGCCGTGTCACATATAGAAATTTTTTGATATTTGCAACCATAGTAAAACAAAGACTTATATTTTTGATATTTATTTTAAATGCCATTTAACAAAGAAAAATCAACCAAAAAAATGAGTTCGCATGTCACCTCTGACACACGTGTCATAGGTTCGCCATCACTGACATAGACCCTACTAGAGTCTGTCAGTCACAGACCCTACTAGTGTCTGTCAGTCAGTCAGCATACAGACCCTACTAGAGTGTCAGTCAACATACAGACCCTACCAGAGTCAGTCAGTCAGCATACGGACCCTACTAATGTCTGTCAGTCAGTCAGCATACGGACCCCGCTAGAGTCTGTCAGTCAGCACACAGACCCTACTAGAGTCTGTCAGTCACAGACCCTACTAGTGTCTGTCAGTCAGTCAGCACACAGACCCCACTAGAGGCTGTCAGTCAGCATACAAATCCTTTCAGAGTCTGTCAGTGAATCAGGACATAGCTACTGCTACATACAGTCTTCTGGACTATGAATCTCAATTAAATTCCTGGACGTACTTCTGGTGTCTATATCACCTCTATAGGAAGTAAGAGATCAATCCTGCTAAACCTGACTCAATTGTTATGTAACTTTTTAAATTAAAATATTTTAAAACACAAACATGTCAAAATGCACACTGGAACACCTGGGTAAATTTATCAGATTTCTTGAAAACAAACACAACCTGGCTTCTGAGCTTAGCAAAAGACAATGAACTGTGCGTAAGATATAGTTCTCTCAATTTTTTGACACCCCCCCCCCCTTGTCCTTTCACTACCCCAAGCACCCATAGTTTCTCTGGAACTCGGAACTCCTGCTCACAGAAATACCGTTTAAGATGGATTTATTCCAAACAGCTATTTCATGTTTCTTCAAAACGCCAGTACCTCTGAAGACCAAGTAGGTTCCAAAGAGGAACAGCAAGAGTCTCACAGGAAACACTCAACTGTTCAGCCTAGGAAAACAAGCATCGTATTCCTAACTCTTAACTTCTTGGGGGAAAAGAAAACAAAATAAAAACAAAAACTAGAGATAATGATAAGACCACCTAGCACAACATTTTAAGAGTTTTAAAATATTTTCCTATTCTGCTTTCCAATTAATGTAAAACAATCCCCTTACCAAAACAAAATCAAGACAATACAGATAAGTAACAGCTAAATTCAAATCTGAGGATTAAAGTCTGTCACAGAATTATTCCTCCTTCAGCTTTAAAGCAATAATAAATTAAAAAAAAATAGAACTCAATGGCACTGCAACCGAAAAATGGGGGGAGTGTAGAAAAATTGAATATAGTGCTTTCCCAATTTTCTACCAATAGATGCTAAATCCTTCACCTATTACTCCTATAACAAAACTGAAAGGCTCAGCAAAAAATGCTCGAGTCCGCCCTTTCTTCATAGAATTTGTAATACAGACATAATCATAGTAATGTGGATATACTACCAATACACAATCAAGTAACAAGAGGAGGACAAGAAAAAAAAAGATAGGAAGTAGGACTTCTCTGAAATTTGTAGCTCACCCCGCTGGCAAGGCTCAGTGGTTAAGTGTCGACCTATGAACCAGATCATGGTTGATTCCTGGTCAAGGCACATGCCTGGACTGTGGGCTCGATCCCCAGTGGGGGGTGTGCAGGAAGCAGCCAATCAATGATCTCATTATTGATGTTTCTCTCTCTCCCTCTCCTTTCTTCTCTGAAATAAATAAAAAAATATATTTTTTAAAAATGAAATAAATAAAATAAAATTTGTAGCTCTAGTTCATCCTATGTTCTCCTGGCTTCTTCTGCTGAACCTTCTCTGGAGAAATCTTGCTCTAAAAATGGAAGAATGCTGAAGCCCTTGCTGTGGTCAAGTTCTAATTTCTTGGGTCCTATCTGAGAAGACTAAGACCACATCAGCATCCTCTTCTGGGGGAAGCAAACTAGCACAGGGGGTAGTGCAGGGAAGTCATCCCCATGAACATCTCCGTGACCTGTGGCTAATGCTGGGGCTCCTAACAAGCTAACATAATGCTAGTTGTTAGACACTTCTCTCACTAGGAGTATGTACAGCCCAAATCACAAGTCTTTGGAGCAAAATGCTCCTTCGCATTCATTAGCTCTGAATTACTCTCACAGCACAGCGGGAGAAAAGGTGGAGTGAATGTTCATTTGGGCTAAAGATACCACCAGTCAAGCAAAGTAGAGGAGACAACCTCCTAAAAGTGCCACACATACCTCACAGACCACACCTCATCCTTCCAATGGGGCAGGGAGGTGGGGAAGGGGCATTCCCACCTCCCACCTTGGTCAGTTTCATGGTCAAGGACAAGAGAAAGGTCAGAAGCACAGTGGGGCCTTGACTTACGAGTGTCCCGACTAACGAGTTTTTTGAGATACCAGCTGTCTCTCAGCCGATTTTTTGCATTGAGTTGACAGAGTAATTTGAGTTAACGAGCTCCTTAACGAGCTTGGTCTCGGAACGAATTAAACTAGTAAGTCAAGGCCCCACTGTAATCTGCACTCCACTTTAGTGTCCACACCTACAGACTCAGGGTTGCTGTTTCACAAATGCTCATTTATTATAAATTATATGCCGGGTCTCTAATATAACCTTCTTCAAGGCAAGCACCTTTTCTTCTACTTCTATGTATTCCTCCACCCCCGATTCCACCCAGCCCAAAGCCCCACAAATTGAGAACTAAGTACACATTATGCAAATGGCTGAGCAGGAAGAGCAGGTAATTCCAAGCAGAATCTGGGCGAGCAGCCTGTGATGTCCTATTCAAGATAGAAGAATAGAGGACTCTGATGATAATCTTTCTCAACCTACAGGTTTTATCTCAGTGCCTATCTCCAGGTGCTTAAAATTCCTAGCTAATCGCCAAGGACGCTTATTTACATAGTGATTTGTTCCTGCAATGTAAGTGGTTAGAGGTGGGAGTAGGACCTAGTCCTAGAATAACTCTAAAACACAGCAGCCTGCTTTGGGGGGCATCACTTCACTTAGTACTGTGGCCTGCTCAACATCTCGCTCCATGAGAGATGCAGAATCCCTAGGTTGCTGCGGTGTCTAAGGAACTCTGTCCCAGTACTCCTTTACCCAACTTCACAGAACGGAGCTCTCCAACCTGGAGGACGCACCAGAACCCACAGGGAAGCTGTTTAACCACAGGCACGTGCAGACCCCAACCCTAGAGACTCTGAGTGAACACTGAGCCGAAAGCAGACCCCGGCATGTGTACATTTCCAAAGTGCTAACGGGGGTTCTCATGACGATTCCTGGATAAGAGCCTTGACGAAAGGCCTTCGGTCACCCAAACCCCCATGGCCAACAGCTACTATGTTCTCGCCGGTTACTTCTAAAGGACAAACTGATAACTTTAAGATGGGGAGTCGTCTCTCTCTTTTAAAAATCTCTTGAGAACTCTAGACTTGCTTCTTGGAAAAAATGCCCATGTATTCATGTTTTACATACAAATTCGGGGGGAGAAGCATGCCATCATTCACCAAGGGGCTAAGAATCCCTGCTGTAAACCTTTTCTGTGTAACCCTACAGAAAAAATAAAGTGACAGAACGGAATAGGGAAATAAATATAAGCAGCCAAGAGCTAGACCCCACAGGGTCCAGAAGCCCGCTCGAGATGTTTCAACTTAAAAGGGAGTGCTTCGAAAATAATAAGCAGCTGGATGAACTCTTCTCTGCCTTTCGACTTGAGCAATTCAAACATCAGTGGTGACTCCTGAGTCAGTGGTTACTGTCCTTCTACAGCCCCAGAGGTCACTGGCTAGCAGTGGCTGGCAAAGAGGCTGGGAGCCACTGGAGAACACAGATGACCGGGCCTGCGAAAGCCTTGCAGCAGCAGGGGACCGCCCTCCTCTCCTAAACCTCACCCCACAGCTGCCACAAGACCTGTGCCTGGCTCCTGAAAAATGCAAACTAAGCTACTTCCCCCTTTCTCAAAGGCAGCTCTCCCCAGGGCAGCAAAGCCTTGGGACTATTTCTCATGAAAGGAGGCAAGAACTCTCCCCCTACATCCACTTACTGGCTCCAGAGCATCTGCGGATGTTCTAGAGACTAGGCCAGTGGTTCTCAACCTTCCTAATGCCGCGACCCTTTCATACAGTTCCTCATGTTGTGGTGACCCCCAATTTCATTGTTACAAATTGAACATAATGAAAGCATAGTGATTAATCACAAAAACAATATGTAATTATATATGTGTTTTCCAATGGTCTTAGGCGACCCCTGTGAAAGGGTCGTTCGACCCCCAAAGGGGTCGCGACCCACAGGTTGAGAACCGCTGGCCTAGGCGGACCCTTGCAAGACCTGGCTTGAGAGAAATGGAGCAGGAGAAAGAAAGGCTCCCCAGGTCCACGTCCATCTGGGCCCCCTGCAGAGAGAATTTCTCTTGCTGACCTTCCCGTCCCCCCTAGTCAGACACTACAGTGACAATGACATGCATCACACTAGACAATCCAATGGGGAGATGAGGGAGGGGGAGAAAGCAGGCAGGTAAGCACGGTGAGTAAAGCACACTTTGAAGAGACAAAGGTAAAGGGGAAAGTGGGCTTCTGTGTCCCCCTCCACCCCACCCCCAACTTACTAACATCAGTCACTTTAGACACCAGAGACTGACAAGAACCAACGTACTGGCCCTGCTTAGCCTCAGTCCCAGGTAAGCTTATCAGCCCAGGGGCGAGCACCCCTTTTCCTCCTCCTCCAGACCACCCAATGAGGACGTGTTCTGAAGCGCCCAACTCGGCAACTTGCCCCTGGATGGGGAGAGGGTTCACACTGCAGGACAGCTAAGGTTGGTCTGCGACACACGGCCTCACGTTCATGGTCGGGGGTGGGGCTTGGAAGTTAAACGACTCCTTGGTGATTAGTGGCAAGGGCAGGAGGCCAGGACTGGAGGGAAACACACAGTTACACCACCGGAATGCTGACTTGGGTCTTCGGCTGGTCGGCCCCTTCTTGCATGTCCAGGGCACGGAGAGGGCTGAGGGGCTTGAGGGGCCGGCTCCCAACACTGTAATTTCTCGGACGCCTTATTGTATTCGAACTGGACAGAGGTGTAAAGCTGTTCCTTCTCATCCTTACAGGGGTTTGGCTCTTGGGAAAGTTGTTCTGATTAGAAACGGAGGGACACCACACAAATGAAAGCCAAGACAAAAGCTCACCCGTGAAGGTTACATAATGCTCATAACCACAACACTCATCCTGCTCCTGAGGCAGCCTCCTGAGCCCTGGCTGTGGCCTGGTCCCCTAGCCCCAGGAAGATAAAGGGTTATAGAGGGAGACGCTCCTTGAGCATCGAACTCCAAAGCAGGAAAGAGGGACCCAGAAAGGAAGGGGCTCACTTAAGAGCAAACGGACTACCAGGACAGACCTAGGAACAAAACTGCACCTCTTCACCCCACCTTACAGGTGAGGGTCTGCTGGATCCTGCTTCCTAAAGCGGGGGGAGGGGGGAGGGAGGAGGGCATTGAACTTCACTTCAGCCAAACGCTTTGCATTTTTAACTGGATTTCCAGGAGGTCCCAAGGTCAAGACTCATGAAAGAGGTACTAATCTCTAAAAATAGTTAATTCCAACATCTCTGCCTCTTGGAAGTGAGCAGACTACGTAGGACGTGAGTCCTGGATCTGTTTTCCTTTTGTACATAAAAGCAACCCCAGTGTCTTGATGCCAAAGGTTCCAGTTCTCAAGGTGGCAGGGAACCTGCACGCTCGTCTGTGGGAAATACTTACCGCTGGCTTGTCTCGGTGAGTGTTCACAGCCTCCACGTTGACCTTGATCGTTTCCACTTTGCACCCTGGGAGCACAGAGGAGAGAAAAGAGGCCTTTGGGGGGCAAAGCTCCGAGAAACATCCCTCTGTTTCAGTACGGGAAAGCACACCAGAAAAGAATGCCTATGCCCCCAATACATACATACATTTAACAACAGGGCTTTCCTGGTATACAGGGGCGATGAAGTTGAACTTCTACACAAACTTCAGAGAAATCCTGACCTTCCTCTATCCCCACCTTCTGCCCAGCTCCTAAATGCATATTTACCGTAGGCCACAGGAGTAAGTTTGAAGATGGTATGGAGAGGGCACCTCAAGTACGGTAGCTCATCTGAAAGCAGAAAGACCAGGTGAGGAAGACTCTTCGTATGGAGTGAGGTCAAGCTAGTGGCAGAAAGAGACTAAGGAGCTCATGAGTTTTCTTTACCTTGACCTGGAGTGATACAGCTCCTCCCTTAACCTTGACCTAGAGTTATGCAGCTCCTCCCCTGAACCCCAGACAGTTATCGAGACAGCCACCCAAGAAGCCACCCAAGCGACTGCGTGGCTAAGGAAGGATGTAAGCCCATTTTCGATCCCTCCATGCAGACAAAACAGGAGTAAGTGCTGCAGCCAGGACCCCATGGAAGGAGAGAGCGTGGCCCACCTGCAGGCTTCCCAGCCAGTCAGGTAGGTCGGGAAGGGAAGCGCCAGCACTTCCTTCCAGCTCCACCCAGAAACTGTCCTAAATCTAAGGATGAAAATGCTTCTAAGGTACCACCCTCCTTGTAGCCAAAGTAACAAGCTGGCAGTGTTCAACCGCTTTTCTGATGCTGCCAGAAGGGTTAGCTCGAGGCTGCCCTCTAGCCATGCAGGACTGAGCAGCCCCTCCACTGGGGGCTTTTGGACCAGCAATCAATTCAGCCAGTAGCTGGCTCGGTGGCTGCTGGGCGCCCCACACTGGTGCCTGAAGAATGCACTCCCATTTGAGTGAAAGAGGGGGAGGCCCAGTTGCCAGGGATCCTGGTGCCACCCCAAGCCCAGTCCCCTCCCAGCCCTTCCCTCAATGGCACCTGCACCCTTATCCAAGAAGTAGGCCAGGAGGCAGCGCATGACAGCCTGGTGGGAGATGACGAGGACATTGCCCTGGCGCTCCAGCTCCATGATGACAGGCTCCAGCCGCTGCACCAGGTCCTGGTACGACTGTGGGGGGAAAGTGGGCAGGCTGCTAGGAGGCCGGGCACAAGCTGGCAGCCGAGGCAGAGGCTGCGTCCAGAGTAAAGAGGCCACTGCTCCTTCCTCCCCAGCTGGCTTCCCTCCTAGAGCTTCAGCGACTGCATGTCGCCTGCTAACTCCCCAGCTTTGGAAGCTCCTAAGAATATTGAGACCTTTCAAGGGCAACATTCAGACTGAGGAAACTCCAGGTCAAGAAGAGAAAATCTGCATTCAGCACCTGGGTTTTTTCTTCCCCAGATTAACGGGCAGAGCATAAGGCAACAAGGGGCTCCTGGAGGTCCCCTGGACCTCGGTCATACTGTTGACTTCCTTCATCTCACACATCCCTAGACTGTGAAGCCACTGAGACCAGGAAACAGCCCAAACTCTGAAGCTGATAGGGATTTCATTCACAGCCCATATATCTACTTGGTGCCCATTTCTGGGCGTGGGATGTAGTGAGTGGAATGAAAAAAATAAAGTGAAAAAGATGGTGTTGATTCTACAACATACTCAACACAGTTTGTCTTGCCACTCTTATCAAATGAATGAGGCATCTGACTGCCTAAGCTGAATTAAAGACAGTAGGACCCAAAGTTAGGAGGATAAACTAAGTTCTGCCTCAAGTACCCTTTCTAGATCCCCCCAAATCCATTCAATCCTTCCCCCAAATTAACACCAAACTGCCAGCACAGGGCGGGGCAGTGGCTCCACATGAGGGAATCTCACCTCCCCGCTAGGATAGCGATACAGATATTTCTCTTGATCCCGAAGTGCGAACTCCTCTGGGTACTGCTTCTCAATCTCTGCGTAGGTCATCTCCTCGCACACGCCCTGCAAGGAGCCACACTGGCTTACGAAGGTAGACTGGCCCACACAGCCCCACCCAACGAAGGCAGACGACACTGAGGAACACTAGTTTCTTACTACGTGCCAGGCACTGTGCCGGGTCCTTGCACGTCCTGCAACTGCCTGGCCAGGGTGTCTGGGACGGGGCAGGGTGAGGGCCACTGGGGAGAGGAGGCGGCTTCTCTAGCGTAAGCTGCCACTTTCTCCTACTACTGTGGGGAATTTAAAGGTCAAGAAGCATCAGCGGGATAAAAGGAACAGGAAGCAGGGAAGGAGAGGCAGCGGAAGGGACTGCAGAATTCGTGCAGAAGGCATAAAAGGGTGCAGAGGAAGCAAAGAAAAAGGATTGCCTACTTTTGTGCTCAAGGACAGAGAAAGCCAAGGAAACAAATGGAAAGGACTTTTTTTTAGAATAGCTGGCCAAATGATCTAAAGAGCCGTTAGCTATTTCTTTTTCCCAGGAAGAAAATATACCGAGGTACCAAATGGAACTCCCAGGTGCCCCCAAATAGAATAGCTGGCCAAATGATCTAAGTGGAAATTAAAGAAAAGAGCTGTTAGCTATTTCTTTTTCCCAGGAAGAAAATACACCGAGGTACCAAATGGAACTCCCAGGTGCCCCCAAATTGGTTGGAGTGCCATTCCTGGCACAGGTGTTCAAGCAGGCAGGAAGCCCTAATTAGGAGTAGAACTGTTCCTACTTCCTCCCCACACCAGCCACAGTGTTAGCTTCTGCAATGTCTCTACTTGGTGGTTCTAGATCAATGATGGCGAACCTATGACACGCGTGTCAGAGGTGACACGCGAACTCATTTTTTTGGTTGATTTTTCTTTGTTAAATGGCATTTAAATATATAAAATAAATATCAAAAATATAAATCTTTGTTTTACTATGGTTGCAAATATCAAAAAATTTCTATATGTGACACGGCACCAGAGTTAAGTTAGGGTTTTTCAAAATGCTGACACGCCGAGCTCAAAAGGTTCGCCATCACTGTTCTAGATGTTAGGTAAAACTGCCCAGATGGTGGCTTCTGAGAGCTCCTGCCTGAATAAGAGGCTATCTGGGCCATCAGCACTTCCCACTCACAGCATCAATCTCATTCAGAATCTTCCACTGCTCATAGGTCACCCCCAGCGACTCCGCAGTCTGGATAGTCCTCTTCAACTGGCTCGTCCACACCTTGAGATCTGCTATCTCCTGTTCCTCCAGAAACTTCTTGAGAGCTTGGGCAAACTGGGGTTTGAAATAAAAGTTTAAAGAGAGGAAACACGGACACACACATACACCTGCTGACTCGGCCGAGGAGGGCACCGTGCGTGACCGCAGTCAAAATCGGAAAGGTGCTCCATGCGATAAACCCAAGAGGAAAAGAGCTTCCGCTGAGGTGCCCTGTTCTCTGCTAAGCACACAGGTTGTGCCCGATAACCAATGGCTGAACAACCACAGCAGGAATGGTTCCAAGCTATCCACCCTTCAGTACGGAGCTAGAATCAGTGAACAAGGAAAACCTTTAGCCCTTGCTTGACCGTCTGAAACCTAAGCCTCAATGGGGTTTAGGAAGAAGTAAGGGCATAACAGAGGTGACCTCCACTCCGCCCTCTAATTCTAAGCCTGGGAAACCCAGCCTGCGGGCGAACTGCTCACCTGTTTGCCCCGCACCGAGAGGCCAGAGTCGCCCCCAATCTTCCCCAGGAGGTTGAACTCGCTCTCCCCGTGCCGACAAAGGTAAATGGTGCGGGGATAGACGTGGATATTCATGAGGTAGTAGACTATCTTGCTCTGGATGTAGTCCTGGACTCTGTTCACTAGAAACCGCTGGCCCACGTTGATCACCTTGATGAAAGAAAGATCCCTGGGACAGAAGGGGAAAAAACATCCCCTGAGTATAAAAATCTGAGGCTAACGGTAGCAGGGGAACGGATGTCAGAGTTACTCACAGACTCATAGCAGCTCTCCTCCCCCCGTCAGAGCCCCGCCCGGCTGAATGGTAAGAGCTGGATTAGGATGTCAGAGTTACCCACAGACTCACAGCAGCTCTCCTCCCCCCCCTGTCAGAGCCCCGCCCGGCTGAATGGTAAGAGCTGGATTACTCCCCAGAACCGAGACGAAGTACAAATCTCCCCAACTCCTGGTCAGTCCCTCAGTGCCTACCCTATGCCATGAAATAAGTGTGATCGACAGAACTCAGGCTCCCGTGAGGGGCTACACTAGATGACCTGAAGGTTTTGCTAACCTTGAATTTGGGTGAGAAGCACAGCCCCGCATCTGAGGGGTCGAGACCTGGCCAGAGTACAGCATCACCAGCGGTGAGGGGGAGGCAGGAGAAGCAGAACCAGAGAAACCTCTGTGCATTCCCGGCATCTGCCTACATCAATCCTCTCTCAAAGGCACTTCCGTGGACAGTTCGCTTTGTGGCCATCATGGAATTACCTCATAATAAAAATAATGCTTATTCCAAAAAAAATTTTTTAAAGGTACATTGATGCAAATAAAAATCAATGTACCATAAGCCTACCATCAGAGATAACATCTATAAACACACACACACACACACACACACACACACACACACACTTCCAGAATGTGCTCTATGTAGGACTTTGGGGGTAACTAAAGAATATACTATTAAGCCATATCGAGGGTGGTGGTTTGCAACTTCATATAAAGAACATCTGCAAATACTAACATTCCGGACAACCCTTTGAGGAACTGAAAGGCTCCAAAGCAGACCACTGAAGTGATTCAACGGTGGTTATGCACACTTGTCTCATTTGCTTGGCTGCAGGGCTGTATTCTTATTGGGCTAGAACTGGAAACTGCTGACTGCGTGCCTTTTCAAAGGCCACATTCTCACAGGTTTCTTTCTTTTTTTTTAATTTACTGGGGTGACACTGGTTAATAAAATGATATAGGTTTCAGGTTTACAATTCTACAATACATCATCTGTATATTCTATTGTATGTAGCACTCCCAGTCCTCGAGAGTTTCCATGTGCACACATCTTTCTTCAACATGAACTTGACCTTTTGCTATGGCTCCTATACCTCACACACATCAAGTTAATGTGTATTGTACACCACTTTGCTGATAGATGCTGCCATAGTAACGACAGCTAGCCATGATCAGACATTTCACTAAGCCAGGCATGTTCCTGAGAACTTCATGTTTAATTTATATACCTAAATGTTATCTGTTATATATAACAAGATACATATTACATATACATTACATGCATATACACATGCATATAACATACACATTGTTTTATATTGTATATGTGTTGTTATATATGTAATATATGTATGTATATGTATTAATATATATTATTTAACATATATATACACACACATACACTATACACTTTTAAAATTGATCAAAAGCTGATGACACACCTCTAAGGGGTACCCTACATTACCCTCGTTCAAAACTACTGATCTAGAGCAGTGCTTCTCAACCAAGGGTGATTTCATTCCCCAGGCAATGTCAGGAAACATTTTAGCTTGTCACAGGTTGGAAGTTATTACTGGTATCTAGTGAGCAGAGGGCAGGGATGCTGCTATATATCCTACAATGCACAAGACAACTACACAGAATTATCTAGTTCAAAATGTCAACAATGTGGAGGCTGAGAAATCTTGCTCTAGAGCAGGGGTGGGGACCGTCTGGCCCGCAGGCTGTACAAGGCCCACAAAATCATTTGGTCTGCCCCTGCCAAAGCATTAGAGGTGAGTTAATTAAATGTTTGACCAAATATAGCAGACTAATTTTTAAGTTGATAATTCTGTATGGCCCTCGAATAATGTTATAAATACCCAAATGGCCCTTGGCAGGAAAAAGGTTCCCCGCCCCTGCTCTAGAGGAGAGAGAGGAAGAATTGACGATCGTAAAAACAAAACAAAACACTTCCGTGTTCAAGGGTAAGATGCAACCCACATAGAAGCCACAAATCCATTCCTTGTTTCTCTGAAGAGATACAAGGGTCTGGAATGGCAGAAGGAAGTTTGGGAACAGAGAGAGAGAAAGGCTCTTTTCTCAAATGAGATCCGTATTCATGCTCTTTAAACCGTGGCCTCAAACCTTACTTGTCATAACAATGAGATCCGTATTCATGCTCTTTAAACCGTGGCTCTTTAAACCGTGGCCTCAAACCTTACTTGTCATAGTTGTCTGGGTCAAGGGGCTGATAGGTGACTTTGTAGCACTCAATTCTCTTTAGGAAGTCCTCCATCACATTCTCCCTGTTCCTTTCAGGGTAATCAGGGCTGGATACCTTTACTTCCTGGAATCACAGAAGAGCAGGACCTGGTCAGAGGTCTGCCCTCACTGGCCCTGCTGCAAACAGCCACTGCTAAATAAAGAAAAGGAAGCCCACAGCAGTGGCCTTTCACTGCAGCGCTGGCAATCCCCACTCACTGAGCACCACCCCCACTCTGTCCTATGATCCTGGCAACCCAGAAGGGCAAGACAACTGGGGAGTCATGTGCTTGCCCTTGGCTGAAGGACAGCCGGCAGTCGTGCAGCGGAAGCTGCTCCTGAGCCCCGATCCCTTCATGGACCTCCTTGGGAAGACAGAATGTGCTTCCATTTCTCCCTACAACCATTCAGAATAAGATGCGTGATTGGACGCATGCCTGACTTGGACCAGACGCCTCTTCCTTAGATGATCCCAAGTGCCCACGTTGCTGGGAGAGCCCCATCTTGATACCATGCGTGGATGTCTACTTGGCACAGCACAACCCATCAAATGGGCACTGGTTTATACTCTGACCATTAGACAAATGCTGGGCGGGTGACCTTCCTAGAAAGTGGCCCTGACAGACCCTGAGAGTTTGGTCTATTCTAAGAAGACATCTAGGTCTCCGCATCCAGCTAACACCCAGAACATGGAGCCAGGAATCCTCCAGTATAAGTCTTGGTCTCCATTCAACAGCTAATTCTTATTTTCTTCCTCAAAGCCTGTTTCCTCTCCCAAGAGTGTGGAAGTACAAAACGGTGCTCTGGCAGATCAAATAGATCCGTCAGTGATGTTAAACAGGTCTATTTCTTTCTTTTATTACCCAGTAGACTCTCCCCTCCTACCGCCCCCAGCCCCCCTCCACATACACACCAGGCACAAAGGAAAAAGAGGTGGTGGTATACAGGGGTGTCACCCACCAGGATGTTGGCAGCAATGACATCAGGATCATCACACACAGATTCCACAAAGAACACCTGGCCAGAAAGAGAGGGCAGTGATGAATGAGTCAAAATTGGCCAGGCTGTTCATTAAGAGCACATGCTCATACCTACCTCACCCAGCCACCACATCCCCCAGGATTTTCTTTCATGACAGTGCCTTCAAGGCCTGTTCATTTAAAAATAACTCTTACCACATCCCCAGGGCCTCAGACATAAAGGCTGAGGGGCTGAGAAAGTACCTGCGAGAAAACACTCAAGGATTGTGGGCCTGCCCCAAGAGGATAGAATCATATACCCAGTCTTTGCCTCACTCACCAGAGCCAAACCGATCTGCATGTTCCTTCCAACTGCCCACTTCCACTCCTCCCCTTTCCTCCGATGTGGAGTCAGATCCTACCTTGAAGGAGTTCTCCTCGGCAAAGTTCAAAATCATGTCCCTCCTCTCCCTAGTTGTATTGGTGGCATCAAACACCTGGGAAGAGCGCCCACAAGGTCAATGAGTGGGGAGCGAAAAATGGAATCCCACCAAGGAGGACCCGGGGCGGCGGGGGGGAGAGGGGGGTACACAGCTTTGAAAGGGTAGAGACCAAGGCGGGGAAGAGGTAGGCAAGGCTTACCGCAATCTGCCCGCTCTCCTCGGTGAGATACGCCTTAACGTCTTCTAGTGCCACCACAGCACACTGTCTGCCGTGAGAGCAGAGGAGGTCAGCAGGGGGAGTGCAGCGAGACCAGGCTCAGGCATAGCCAGAGACCGGAGCAGCTGGGTTGCTATCGGAGTCACGTCCCTTCCTGCTTAAGTTTTCTCACTGGTCAAACACTTCCCTAACTAGACCTTTCAACTCCCCACTGAGATGTTTATATCAGCCTACATCTGTCCCTTTCCCCCAGCCCATGCATACATCTTATCCCTCTGTAGGCTTAATCTGCAAGCATACATACATCTCCCTAAGCCCCGTTCTTCCACCCATCCAAGCCCAAAGTGACCTGTCCAGAAGATACCTTCCACTTCAAATCCCCAAAAAATATTTACTGAAAAGGAAACTAAGCCCCATGACATCCACTCTTAGGATGGCCGAGAAAGAGCTGGCCCAGAGGTCAGGCGTCAGAAGACTCACTTGCGAATCTTCATGGCCTCCTCGTTGTCGTGCCGGAAGAAGTCATAGGACTTATAGGACTTGACTGCTTCACGCCGATATACCCCAAGATTAAACACTGCAGAAGACACCAACACCCTTAAGCACTGAGACGATACAGTGGCCCCACCAAAGGGGACATCCTGGTCTAATGTCAGAGTGGCCAAAGGGGATAAAAAAAAATAAAATAAAATAAAAAAGCACCAAGGCATGTAGGGAACAATACCAGGTTAAGAATCAAATTATGCTGGAGTTCAGACTTATTAGACCTTGGGCAAGTCTTAAGTTTCAATTTCCTCAGCAGCTTCTGCTATTTCACTGGGGTACTGCTAGGATTAAACAAGATGATATATAGGTAAGGGCTTTAAAAATGTCAAGTGTAGCCCTAACCAGTTTGGCTCGGCGGGTGGAGCATCTGCCTGTGGACTGAAGGATCCCAGGTTCGAGTATGGTCAAGGGCACATGCCCAGGTTGCAGGCTTGATCCCCAGTGTGGGGCATGCAGGAGGCAGCTGATCAAGGATTCTCTATCATCACTGATGTTTCTCTCTCTCTCTCTCTTCCTCTCCCTTCCTCTCTGAAATCAATAAAAATCTATTTTTAAAAAATGTAAAGTGTATACGGTCAAAGGCATTGAGGATAGAATCATATATTCTGGAGGAAGTAAGTCTGTGAGCAAGAATAAATTCAGCAAATCCAGAAGCAACAACTACTTCTGCCAGAAGCACCCTGTAACCTTGATGCCGGGAAGAATGAATCCCGCAGAAGCCTGTGAGATGGAGGAACGGATCGTTTCCCTTCCCAAAGAATGAACGACCCGCACCTACCTTTGGTGGGCACTCCAATCCAGTTGAGGTAACGTGTGAGTTTCTTGGACACATAGGTCTTGCCCCGGGCTGGCAAGCCAATCATAACAATGAGCGTCGGGGAGTTGGTCATGTAGGATGCCCACGCTAGAGAGAAAGGAGACAGACCAGAGCTAAATGACTAGGGGCCAAGTCAGGTGCGTGCACAGGGCTAGCGACTTCATAGCTAGACTCTTGTTTAATCCTCAAACACCTCAGTGAGACAAGGGTCCAGGAAGACTGGGAAGGCAAACTGAAGACTTATCAGGCAAACCCTCCTGAAAGAGTAGAAGAGTCGTGTAGGTTTTCAGAAAGTCCCCCAAACATGAAGACATGTTTTCCCCACATGCCCAAGGTCTCACAGAAGTACCCGAGGTGGAAAGAGATAGAAAGACAGTAAGATGGCACCCTGCTCAACGCAAGGATGATATAGCTTCGAAGGAGGGTCTTAGGTCTGGAGATCCTACCCATTTAGAACTGAGCAGGCTCCTAGAATAGGTCCAACAGAGTGTCTAGGCTGATATCTCATCTATCCCTTCAGAGCCATGGGCAAGAATTAGCTTGCCCACCACAAAAAGAGCCGGGCTTCAAGTTGTTTTGGCCTTGCACTCGGGACATGAGCTTAAGCCAGAATGTCTAAACCACCAGTGAGATTAGACTGCGGCAAAGCCTACTTGACCAGGTTCCGACTAGACCTCAGGAAACTTCAGTAAAGCTTAGCCCACAAGGGCATCACGGCCAGCCTGCCTCAATGGCCCACGAGAAAGCAAGACAATTTAGAAGCAGGAACAGTCATTGGTCCGGGCTTCCTTCGGAAACTTATTTCAGGAATACTCATTTACATACTCACTGGACAGGTGGGGCAAACTAGATATTCAGGGTCAGCCAGGTGACTTGCCTATGGACACACAATAAGACAGGGAAGAGCTGGTACTAGAGTCTGGATTTCATGCTTCCTCGGTGGCTTTTCTCTTTAAAAAGAGCCTGTGATTTCTCATCAGCTTGCCCATAGGATCTGGCTCCTCTCTGCCCATCCTGCTGGTAGAGGAGTGGTGGGTGAGGGCCCCGCACTGCTGCCAACCACTCCCCGAGGGCCAAGACCCGAAGGAGGTCATCTGGGAGGCTCGGGCTCTGTGGGCTCCTCTAAGGGCACAGGGACGGGAGAGGGAAAGAACCAACTGCCTTCACTTCCCAGCACTGCTTTCCAGAGCGTGTCCTGCAAGTCGTTGCCGCTGCTCTTTACCCTGGGACGAGGGGACCCCATAAGGCTAAGAAATAATTCTGTAAAATCAGGGTACTTGGCTGGAAAAGTCATCTTTTTTTCTTCGGGGAAAGGAATGTCAAAAGAGCTCAGTGGAGAAGTGGGCAGAAGGGCCCGGGTAGAGAACAGACCTCGGAAGGAAGAGAGTTTCCTAGGGGTGTTTGGCAAGAAGTACATGGAAGCCAAGGAGTGGCCCAAGTGGTGAGGGAGGGGTAGGCTCAGGGTCAGAGGGCTTGGCACATAGCCAATTCCTGGCCCTGGGCACCGGAAGTGATTTTCATCTCTCATCAAATCTGCAGTATGAAAGCAAGAGAACTCAACCCAGCATCCTCAGCTGGTGTTCATCCCTGACCCCTGACCCCTGACCCCTGACAGGCAGATCTATCTCCCTGGGATCAGCTGCCCCGGGATTTCAGTATTTAAATCCTCCTGAGTCTTCACTTTCTCCAGCTCAGCGCCTCGCTCTTCTCCATCCCCCGTGATCTGGCTCATTACCTGCACTTCCAGGCCTGCTTTGTCCACACCTTCCAGCCCATTAGGCACTTCCCCAAAGGTCCTGTTACCTCCCTAATGCTGAAAATAAACTGATGCTTGGGAGCTGCTCTGAAGCCAAGGAAGGAACCAGCTGCTCTATGTAAACCAAACTGGACGGAGGGCTCGGAACAAAAGAAAACAAGGGTCACTAATGTCTCCCCACAGTGGCCCCCAGTACCACACCACCTGCCTCTGCCCACAATCCACCCACACACATCTGCCGCAACCAGGGCTTCTCATTTTCCACACTTCCTGTCTCAAACTGCCACATTAGCAGAACCAGGAACAGACTGTCCTGCCTGTTAAAAAACACCCCCACCACCACCACCTTAATTTTCAGTAGTAGACACTTCATGCTGATTAATTTCAGAGACAATGTAACACACCCATGGGCATATCATGGAAAGCTGTTTCAATCTTGAAAGCCTCTTCTATCTTCTTAACACGAGGTTGAGCTCATTTTCTCAATCCTACACTTACTTTCCTTTCATGAACACACTCATGGAAATGAGGAAATGAGGAGTTGGTGACTTCCCTCCTATAGACAGAAAAACTCAAGCTCAGAGAAAAACAGCATGGCCCACAGTAGAGAGTCAATCAAGGTCAGGGCTCTGACCAGACTCCTGGTGTCATGGCCACCCATTCAGTCTCAGCCTCCACTCCTGTCTGCACCTGAGCAAGGAGCCATGTGGTAAGCACAACTAAGCTTTCTAATCCAATCCTGAAGGGTGGTCCGGAAGGCCACTGGTTCCCAGCCTTTTCATGATCAAGGTCTTCTTCACTACCTGTCCTAAGTAGAGCCAACATTTTTGAAATATGCTGCCCATTAAAGTGTGCTTCATTAGTAATATCTTCTTTTTACTCATCAGAAGTCATAAAACTGACAATTATCGCCTTCTATTTGACTGATAGGCATGAAATACCCAAACTGCTAAGAAAGTTGTTTTGCTAATCGGTGCAGCTATCCTATATAATCCTATATAATAAAAGGCTAATATGCAAATCGACAGAACGGCAGAAAGACTGGTTGCTATGACACGCACTGACCACCAGGGGCAGACGCTCAATGCAGGAGCTCATGGCTGGCGAGCACAGCCACAGTGGCGGGAGCCTCTCCCACCTCCGTGGCAGCACTAAGGATCTCTGACTGCTAGCTTAGGCCCGCTCCTTGTGGGGAGCGGGCCTAAGCCATCAGTCAGATATCCCCCGAGGGCTCCCGGACTGCAAGAGGGCGCAGGCCGGGCTGAGCCCACTCCTTTGGGGAGCTAGCTTAGGCCCGCTAAGCCATCAGTCAGACATCCCCCAAGGGCTCCCGGACTGCAAAAGGGCGCAGGCTGGGCTGAGGGACCTCCCCTCCGAGTGCATGGATTTTGTGCACCAGGCCTCTAGTAGGTAATAATGCCCAAGTACCATCAATTACTTTGAAATATTAAAACAGTTTACAATACAGAACTTTGTAGGACAGTCATGCTGATCAACATTTTAAATGTATCTATCTTTTCTTCTATTATTTCTATAGAAAAGTTGCTAGCACAAACATGCAAAGGTGTGTGTGTGTGTGTGTGTGTGTGTGTGCAAGGATGCTCACTGCAGTATTGTTTGTGATAGTGGAAAACTGGAAACAGAAAATGTCCATCAGGGGGAGACTGACATATCCATACAATGCAATACTGTGCAGAATGAGGTAAATCTGGATTTACTGACATGGAAGAAAATGTCCAAAATAAGCAAGCTTAAAAGGTGGGGGGGAGGTAGATAATGGCAGCAGAACCAAACGTGTATAGCGTGAACCTTTTTTTCTTTAATAGGATACACCAGAATGAGTTGTTAGAAAGAAGCAAACTTAACAGGGACAGAAGAAATTGTGGGAGATTTTTTACTTTTCACTTTCTTTCTGTACTGTTTGAATATTTCATGTACATGTGCTGCTTTTGTCATTTGGGAAAGGTATACATGGGAATTTGTCTGTTCCCGACCTGCTCAAAATAGTAAAGAATAGATGAAATGAAGAAAGAAAAGCATGTAGACCTCCCCCCACACACTACTGCTTTCACAGAGCCCTGACAGCAGTCCTCCGAGCACCCTAAAGGCACCTCAGCCATCACCCCACCCCTGGAGCAGCTGACATCCCAGGAAGGTTCCTTTGGAGGCTTTGGTTCCCTAAAGTAATCCTTCAATCTCCAGCTCAGTCACTTCATAGAGTCCAAGTCAGCCAGCACAGGTGTAATTAGCACCAAGGGGATAATGGCTGAGCTATTAATAAAGGAACTGCTGGGTATGAACACTGAGCAGCCAGGGGAGCCCATTCCAAGATGCAGGCAAATAACAGAGAAAAAGGAAATGAATTAACACATATTCTCATGACTGTATTTCTCCTTTGACTGTAAGGGTTTCATAGTCCAACCGGAAGGGAGAAGAGATGGGGCAAATGAAGGGCAGGGGCTTTAGGACAACCCAAATGCTTCAGTGGGGCATAGGGTGGAGCTTTGAGAGGAGGATCAGAGCCCAAACCAGGAATGAAGAGCCCAGAGGGCTAGAAACCTGGGATTACTGTTTCTTGGCTAATCAGAAGCCTTCAGGGCAGAAAACTTGCAAAGAGTCAGGAAGGCAGATAGGAGATTCCTTTGGAGAATAAAGCAGAGCCGGGACTGACACTGGGCATTCATTGTGCAGGGTCACAGGCTCCCACAGGTATCAGCTCCTCCCCACACATGTACCAGCTCTCTGTGCCCTGGTGAATCAAGTGCACCTCTCTTTAGAATGTGCATCCACACCCCAAAACCTGGGTTACAATACTGTCAAATAAGAGGAGAAAATATTCTTTACTGAAAATATAATTCTTCACGGGGTTCTCTTAAACAGAGAGCTCCCATCAGAGCATTTAGACCACAATTCAATTTAGATGTTTCAAGAATAAACACAACATGCAAATAGAACCGCCAGTAAAAAATAATACACCTAGCTACGTGCCCAACACTCTTCTAAGTGCTTTCCTATATTTACTCATTTAATTCTCGCATCACTGGAGGGGGGGCGGGGCAGGGACATGCTATTAGTATCCTAATTTTACAAAGGGGGTAAGCAACTTGTTCAAGTGCACACGGCCAGGAAGTATTAAATCCCAGATTCAAACACAGACGTTCTTACTCTAGAGCAGCGGTTCTCAACCTGTGGGTCGGGACCCCTTTGGGGGGCGAGCGACCCTTTCACAGGGGTCGCCTAAGACCATCGGAAAACACATATATAATTACATATTGTTTTTGTGATTAATCACTATGCTTTAATTTTGTTCAATTTGTAACAATGAAAATACATCCTGCATATCAGATATTTACATTATGATTCATAACAGTAGCAAAATTACAGTTATGAAGTAGCAACGAAAAGAATTTTATGGCTGGGGGTCACCACAACATGAGGAACTGTATTAAAGGGTCGCGACATTAGGAAGGTTGAGAACCACTGCTCTAGAGGCTGCCCTAAAAACAGCCCGCAGTACCTAGGTTTCTGCCCTGGCAGAGAAAGGAGACCCTAACCGGCGAAGTATGCCAACACCAGTATCACATCCAAACCACCTGCCCCTGCTACAACCCAAAACCCAGCAAGCCTCATGGGCGCCAGGTGAAGAGATTATCATCATTAATCCTGAGACTGAAAAGGGTATGACATCAAGGTCAAGACTCTGGGGAAAGCTTTGAACACGAGATGATTCCAGGTCTCATGCTGCCTGGCTGTTTCCACCTGCCAATATATATATAACCACTGAAGTGAGAAGACTGACTGACGGCAAGATGCAATCTGGACGCTGGGGGAAGAAGGACTGGCATTCCTTAGGTTCCCAAGACATCTGGGGCCCAAGACTTCTGGACCTACTGACCCTCTGCACTGTTGAGGTCTATAATGATGCTTAGGACCGCAATTGCTTCATCGCTCTGCAATCCCACCTGCCATCTCTGTCTAAATAACTAGCATTAAAAAACTCCGGTAAAACCTCATCCCCAAAGGAATGAATCTGTAGGGAACATAATCTGCAAAGTTCAAAGGCTAAACCTGTGAGAAAGTAAGGTGCCCAAGACACAGAGAAAAGTCTAATGTCAGGGCTGGTTCCACGGAGGGCTGTAGCAATGGGTTCCTACTTGCAATTTCTCCAATGAGCAGCACCCTCCCAAAAGGTAGCCCAAGAAAACCAAGGGAAACTGTTCACAATGTCAGCCCCAGGTAATTCCTGCCCATGGTCCCTCCCAGTGTGTACTACTAATGCTTGCCCTAGCTTTTAGCCTGCAGGGTGCAGATACTCCCAGGAGACAGACTCAGGTGAAGAGAGCAGTAAGAAAATGCTGGGCTCCACCCGCAGGCTAGCCCCAAGGACAGACACTTCACCGAGTCTACTTTTTCTTCCCTTTGTAGACTTTGTTTTCAATTCCCATGTCAAAGAATTACTTCTCACTCCCACCAAGCAGCAAAGTCTCGGATGACAACTGTATTCCCAAGATAAAATTCTGGGAGAGTGCAACCCTCTTTTTTGCCAGAACTTACAACATATCTTCTTGGACAGTCGAAGATTGGAGGCTGTGGTTTGATTGCTGCTATTGTTCTGTTCTGAGGAAGATGCAGTATCCTCAGACATGGCGGCACTTCAGAGGTCTGGGAGGGACAAAAGGAATGTAAGGGAGGGAAGGAAGAAGACGTCCTTCAAAACACTCAGTGAAGAATGGATCCCTGAGGTATCAGTGAAAAAGTCCAGCCCTCTTTCTCCCAGTTAATAGCTACATGCCCTACGACAGCGGTTCTCAACCTGTGGGTCGAGACCCCTTTAGCGGTCAAACAACCCTTTCACAGGGGTCGCCTAAGACCATCCTGCATATCAGATATTTACATTACGATTCATAACAGTAGACATATCACAGTTATGAAGTAGCAACGAAAATAATTTTATGGTTGGGTCACAACATGAGGATCTGTACTTAAAGGGCCAGAAGGTTGAGAACCACTGCCCTAGGATAAGACGTGAACCCAGAGCCCTCGGGGTTTCCTTGTCTACATAAAAATAGAGCACTAGAATCTTGCATTTATAATACTGATTTAGGAGTAACTCACATAAATTATCGCCTTCACTCTTTCCAATATTCCTGTAATAAGGCAGATTTTACTACCATTATTACTCCTTCCCATTTTACAGATTGAAAAACTGAGGTCAATCAAATTTTGTGGCTCATCCAAGTCCTTGCTGACCTCAAATTCTAGTTTAAGAATCTGGGGAGAGTAGTGGCAGCAGGTGGGGGGTGGGGTGGTTGTGAACAGATAAAGTTCACTATCACAAACAAATGGCAGTCCAATGGTAGGACTCAGTCCTGGGAAAAAAAATGAGAAAGTGGGAAAATATCAAATGTGTTCCCTTAAGGCAAAACTGTAACTGGACAGACACCCCATTTCCAGCACGTCACCATTTCTCCTCTGGCGCTCTTATTCTCAAGTCCTTGCTCTGTACCGTCTCCCCATCTGACCCCGAGACAAGGTCTATAGAAGAAACATGGGGGCACAAAAGAGGCGATAAATGACTTCTTCAAGGTCATCTACAGAATAAGGGTATGCAAACACCCTAAGGTGTAATCAGATCAGTTCAAACTGGGGTGGGAGAGCCCCCGAGCTCACTCCCCAAACCCAGACAAGCAATTCGTGAGGAAGGACGGTCCTATGGCTTTAAGGACCTGGCACTGGCTACGCTCCCACTGACCACGCAAATCCTCCAACCCAGACACCTGCTGCGATCCAAGTCCCTGAAGGTCCGCACTCCGGGCTGCGTCTCGGGGCCGGCACTTCCCCGAAACAGCAGGGCACCTTCGTCTCGCACCTCATCCGGGTGTACGCAGTCCCCCTCCTCCCGCCCTCCCAGCCTCTTGCAGGCGCAGTGCAGCTGTCGCTCACCCGGTGATCCCCAAGATCCCTCCCGGCAGCGACCCCGGCAGCTCCCCAGAAACGAAGCAGACACCAGCCCACACCCGGCGGCCTGGGGCCCGGCACACCAGTCATTCGCAATTCAAGTGCCCCCGCCTGGCTCCACCCACCCCCACGTTGGTCCTCACCTGGAGAGAATCTTCGACCAATCGGCGCCCGCAGACTCCAGGGGGCGGGACTCCAGGAAGACTCGCTGACGCAGGCTCCCCGAGGAGGACGGCGCTGTGAAGGGGAAAGAGAGCACGTTCCCAAGTTTCCCCGCACCGTGGAGGTTGGTTGCATCGTTGCTCGGCAACTAAGAAGGCTGGGGGCGGGGTTTGTGGAAATCTGCGTCTTTTTTTGCATACTCTCGCGAGAGTGGACGGAGCTGTCTGGAGAGGGTGTGACTTTGAAGACATTTGGGGAGGTTAACCCTTTCCGCCTTGAGTCTCCGCGCTTGAGCTGGTTACCTAAAGCTTGCAGTGGTTCTCAACCTGTGGGTCGCGACCCCTTTGGCGGTGGAACGACCCTTTCACAGGGGTCGCCTAAGACCATCCTGCATTTCAGATATTTATATTACGATTCATAACAGCAGCAACATTACAGTTAGGAAGTAGCCACGAAAATAATTTTGTGGTTGGGTCACAACATGAGGAACTGTATTTAAAGGGCCAGAAGGTTGAGAATCACTGGCTTAGGGTGTTTGCATATCTTTCTCATGGGCCAGACTTTTTAAATTAAGAAAACCAACTCATTGCTGAGCCGAGAGCTTCTCTGGACCCATCCGCATATGCCAGTGGACGTCTACCATCTTCATCACCCCCTCCGACCGCCCACACTATGCCTTCTGCTCGGGTCGTCTTGGTGAACCAGAGAGGAAAACGGCTCCAGCAGGAAAACAGGACCTGAAGGGCGTGAAAAGACTCAAAGGTTACATGTAACTTACGCAGCGGTGGAGGTGTTTGCAGGGGAGGTGAGTTTGCACATCTCAAGGACACTTTCCACGTGCGCTTGACACTCGATTCTGTTGATACACCCCCTCCTCGCAGGCATGGGCTTACTGCTCTAAGGGGATGGAAAGCGAACAATGAGTGTGGATTTCTTGCAAGAGAGGTAAACTCAGAGATGTCTTATTTCTCCTTCGGCTGGGGGTTGAAGTCTTCCTTCAAACATCTCATAGTGAAGCCCTATTACAACGCCCAGTCTATGATGGTTGCCCGCTGTGACTCTATAACTGTATCCATTTGGCAGGCATTGACTGAGCATTTATTTGCTGGACACAGCCGTCGGTTCTAGGGATGCAGGGTTGAAAGGGGTCACATAACCTCGCATTATCACGTTGCTGTGAAGTTCAGTGGTTATGGGTCCTTGACACCCCACCCTCTCTTCCGATCACAGTGCTTGTCACACGGAAGGCAGGAAGGGAACCAGCTTCCTGTTTGTATACTCGGGGCCTGAGCTGGAATGTGGGTGACACACACAAGTCCTCCTCGTGCCTTCTCCGCATGCTGCCACCCCCTCCCTGCAGGTGGCAATTGCCCTGGGGCCGAGGGCAGTGGCACAGCCTGAGTCTGACCTCATACTGAGCTTTCTGATGTGGCCAATGGACGTTTGCAGGTGACAGTCTCCTGCAGGTGGAGAGGCCAGTCACCCCTCAACTTCAGTGAGTCAATGTTTGCCGCCGCCATGAGTCTATTCCTGCGCCCCTGGTTATTTTCGGCCGGTCCTTTGACTCACTGACCATGCTTGGCATTCATTTGCGTGCTGAATCATGATTCTCTTTCTCCCGGTGTAGTTCGCAAGCCCCAATTTAATAATTCCCGACCTCAAGTAAGTGCAAGACGACATTCCAATGTACTGGATTCAGGAACTCCTTCCCCGCCCTCTCGCCTTGAGCATATATGCGGCCGATTTCGAGGGCACCTCACTCGACCTACAGGTAGCAAGACCTTTCGTTCTTTAGAAATACTGATACATCTTCACCCTTCGGCTCCCGAAGAGGCGGGAGGAGTGGGGAGTTAGCTGTCCCTTTAAGAGAACTCGCTCTGCTTCAAGGGCTGAAACGAAGCTGCGCCCAAGTATCGCGAAAACGGTGGCCGCCCGCGAGTTCTCGCGATGTTTGGCCCGGCGAAGGGTAGCCATTTTGGAGTCCGCGCGGAGGCTGAGTGCCCCGGCGGCGGCGGCGTCTGCCATCCTGCTGCCGGGACCAAGGCCGGCCCCGCGGCTGTCAGGCCCATGGGTGGCCGGACCGACACGATGTGGCGGTTCCGCTGCAAAGCCAAGGACGGCACCTATGTTTTGCAGGAGTTGTCCAGCCGGACGCGGGTGCGGGAGCTCCAGGGCCAAATTGCTGCCATCACGGGGATCGCCCCGGACTGTCAGCGAATCCTCGTGGGATACCCACCTGAGTGCCTGGACCTCAGCAATGGGGACGCCATGCTGGGGGATCTGCCCATCCAGTCAGGTAAGGGCGTCGGGGCTGGGGCCCGGGGAAGCCCTGGGAGGATGGCCAGGGCCGTGCGGGAGAGCACACAGCAGAGGCGCGGCGGCTGCGGGCCGGCCCGGGGCTTTGAGGACCCGGCTGCGGGCAGGTGGAAGCTGGAGAACTCGGGCGGAGGCCGGGACGCGCTGAAAGAGACAGGGAGGTCAAAGCTTTTGAGTGCCCCCCTCCTCCATCTGCTTTCTAGTCTGTCTGCGAAACGTCTCATTCATTTTGTTTTCCCTCGGCATCCACAAAGGCACGCATTCAGTAGGATCTATTTTCTCCGTCCTGATGGTCCTTGCCCCCTGTACTGAACGAAGATGGCAGGTCTGAAGGATGCGGGATGCTTGTCTTGCTTGCTTCCCTGGTTTGTTTTTGCGATCACCTTCCTGTGTATATACTGCCTTGGGCGGGTGTCCTCGCTGTAGCGCTTGCCTGTGCACAGCCACTGAAGGGCCCATCAAGTTCTGAGCAGCAGCAGCTATTTCTGTCCAGCGTGGAACCTGGAATAGCAGCCTTGATCCTGAAAGGCTTCCCGCGGTTGTATCTGGGATCCTGTAAACAGCAAACGGGCTGGGTAACTTTCAGGGGGAGGGGAGCCCCCTAGTGGTCCAGACGATGATGAACAGCTGGTGGAAGAAGTGCGCTGGTTAAAAACAGAGAGCAAACAAGCATAAGGACATTTTGTTCTTGAAATGTCTCTTTTCGGGAAACTATGAAGGTGCTTAGCTCCGGCCCCTTCTCAGAGTTGGGGTGCAACCTAAGATGTTCTGGTCGTTGTTTGTCTTGTACTTGATGAAGATCCGGTGAACAATCAGTTTTAGCTGGTGGTCACTGGTTTGCAAAGCTGGGTTCTCCCTGGTGACCCCAGCTTATACTTTAACTCCTTCTGTTTGTGATTAACAGACTTGGCTAGTGAACTCCCCGTTTCGTCTCCTCAGTTCTGGATTTGTGTTCTTTTTTTTTTAACAGGCGACATGCTGATTGTTGAAGAAGACCAAGCCAGGCCCCACGCCTCACCTGCGTTTACCAGACATGGTGCTCCTTGTTATGTCAGGGACACGGTGCCCGTGCTTACCAGAACCGTGGTCCCAGCAGACAACTCTTGCCTCTTCACCAGTGTGTACTATGTTGTTGAAGGAGGGGTCCTGAACCCAGCTTGTGCCCCTGAGATGAGACGCCTCATAGCACGAATTGTAGCAAGCGACCCAGATTTCTATAGCGAAGCGATCCTGGGGAAAACAAATCAAGAGTACTGTGAATGGATCAAAAGGGATGACACATGGGGAGGAGCTATTGAAATATCGATTTTGTCTAAATTTTATCAGTGCGAAATTTGTGTGGTGGATACACAGACAGTAAGAATTGACCGTTTTGGGGAAGACGCAGGCTATTCCAAAAGGGTCCTGCTTATATACGATGGCGTCCACTATGATCCGCTTCAGCGTAACTTTCCTGACCCAGACACCCCTCCTCTAACCATTTTCTCCTCTAATGATGATATCGTTCTGGTACAAGCACTGGAATTAGCAGATGAAGCTAAAAGGAAGAGACAGTTTACGGATGTAAACCGCTTCACCCTGAGATGCATGATATGTCAAAAGGGGTTAACTGGACAGGCAGAAGCAAGGGAACATGCCAAAGAGACGGGCCACACCAACTTCGGAGAAGTGTGATCTCTGCGTGATGAGGATTGACCCCGACTACCTCACAGATCCAGAAGGTTCTGGGTTTTCCAATAAGCTATTCGTAACCTTAAAGACACCATGCTTGAATCATCCTTTTAACTGAAAACCACGAAGGCACTGAAATTCCTTGTTAAGATTAAAATTAGTGTGCACGTTTACAGATGTGTCTGCAGCGGTGATACATGCCCTCTTCCTGCTGGGGTGACAGGACAGGTGGTCCTTTCTACCTGCCGGCACTAACCTGAAGATTGAGTTTTCGTGTTATAAGTTAGCACCCAGCAGCACTAACGTGTAGAAGAAAACAGCTGCCTGTTTTGGGTAAAGCGGAAGGCTTCCTGTGAGGCCACTGGACGTAAACCACGGTGTCTCCAGTAATTGCGTCCTTTTAAAAACTCTTGCGTTAATAGTGTCTAAATTATGAATATGATTCCTCAAAAGAAGATACACCGACTTGTCAAAACTGATTTTATATTGCAATTTGGTAGACTTTATAAATGTGTACTTAACCAGTCACAGGTACATTACAAGCAATTTTTACAGGGATGAGCCTTTCCCTGAGAATGTTACCTAAAAACAGAAACTGCTGGTGCCCACTTTAGGATTGTTAGGGTAGAGAAGTAGAATGTATGAGGGGAAAGGTGCCTGAGCAGCTTGCTGAAGCTTTAAAAGGCCATTGGCCTCGTGTTTTAATGCAACTCATTTATTAATCTTGGTCACATTAGATACATTTTACTTAAGCAGGGTATTTTTTTTAACTGAAGTACCATGAAATTTGAATGCTTGAATTTTGCCTTTTTACAGAAAGATTTGAAGGGATTTAATTTCCTCAGCTTTTTGTTAAGAGCACTTCCTCCAACTCCTAAAAAAAAAAAAAATCTTTATCGAAAGTGCTAATGATTATGCTTTGGTTTGGATTTTGTGAGAGCTTTTGCTTATCTAAACATTATGTTTTTATATCTTAGCCTTAGCCTGCCACTAATGCTCTTGTAATAATTTCACCTTTCTGCAAATTATAACTTTGCTTATCCATGATCTTGATCTTGGACTTTTGAAGAGTTTTAAAGTAATTGGGATAATAATGTTGAATGAATTAGTTTCACTTCCAAAATATGGCAGTTTTGAAACTGTTGCCTTACCTGAATAAGCTTCTTCCTAATATTAGATGTATAGCCATTTGCTTGGTGGGCTAATCCTTAAAGCAAACCCTCTAAAACTTAGCTTCACTATGAGATCTTCCAGATAAAAATTTTCTACCTCTTTTCGTGAATCTTCTGACGATCAGGGATGCTAAATTTTAATTTGTTGTGTATTAGCTCACATAATGTGAAGAGGCTTAATGTTGTGAAGTTTTCTTACATTGGTCTCATTTTTATGAAGTATCTCCCTTAGAAAACTAATGGTATACTTTAAAGCACTAAATTCTTTTTCACCATATCTTGTTGACAAATGTTATACAATTGAGATCTACTTTTAGCACTTTCACTTGGTGGAGGTAGCCATATTAAATTAGGGAACACAGAAGCAATGTAGGGAAAAAGTACCTTTAAGGAACAAGTCACAAAATATACAGGAAATCATTAGATGACATTTTTTTTAGTACTTTTTATGTGAATAGCCTCTTTAGGCAAAAGTTGCTATGGTCAGTATAACTTAAAGTGTTTAATTTTCTATTTTACTGAGCCTTAAAAATAGCACTTGTAAGTTTGTGATAATTAATGTTTGGCAATCATAATGTGTACAGATGAATATGATTGAAAATCTCTTGGTACCTGTCTGTCCTCCAGTCTAAAAAGTTTTTGTATCTCTTATTTTTCCCAGAAAATGCTAAATTTAAAATTCTAAGTGAAGAGTATACTACTGGGTAACATCTATCAAATTATTTTCCTTCCTTTCTTAGGTACTTCAGGAGCCAAACTTGACATTTACTAACTGGAATTTTAGAGAAGTATATTCATGCAACAAATATTTATTGAGTAACTTATAATGTACCAGGCATCTATTAATGTGTTTCCCAACATAAAATTTCTGTCACTTTAAAATTGAGTATACTCTACCTACATTGGGTTACGTTAGCAAATAGAAAAAGAACCTCATAACTTAAAAATTAAATCCCTCCATTTAAAATATTGTTGGTATATTTAAGCTTATAGCAATTGTCAAGTGTTTGTTCAGGGGACCTTATTTATTCTAGTTTACTGTTGTCTAAGTTGTCCATTCACCAATTAGAGACTGACATTGCTCTCAGTAATGGCTTTTTAAAATTGATCAGCTGCTGAAATTCAGCACTAGGACTTTAATGTTCTGATCATGGAAAATTCAAGATGGCAGATCATTTGACTTAATTGTTGAGGATTAAAAACCTAAGCTTGTACTCATTCTAAACTCAAGTTTATGAGCCTCACAGAATTTATAGTTTGTTACTGCATTTACTAAACTCTTGAAATTACTTCGCTAATGTGTAAATTCTAATCTTGAGACTTTGAAAACCTATGGATTTAGTACTTGCAGTGGGATTAAAAGAAACTTTGTCTTAAACTTGTGCTTGAGCAGAATGAAACCATTTTTCCTAGTCATTGTTTTTGACTGCCATACAAGAATATTTTTTTAATTAAAATGAAAATAGTTTACATTAGTGGCTGAATGAAGATTGTGCTTTCCCATCCCCTCACTCCTTTCTGTTATTCTTCTTTCCTTTACTCTTTGGATTTAAAAATTAGGTGTAGGGCTATAAAGATGCACTTCTAGAGAGAGTGATTTCAGAAGTTAAAATTTTATCCTTGGTAATTTTTTGATGTGATAGCCACATTAAGACACCATCTTCTGTTAATGTCTGTGGTTGATTTTTTAA